CCCCTTCTCTTAAGTCTACGATTATTCCTCGTGTCTTAGAAAGCACAGATGTTTTGTGTTTTAGGGGCGCTCTTATTTTCAAATCTCTTGATTCGTGTGCAGTTTACGATTTTTAGGGAAAAAGAAATAATCTTTTTTGAACGGAAGCAGTTATCGATAATACTGATTTGGGAGAGAGGAAAGCTTATAGACATTCAAATCTGCATTTCTGTTGAATATTCAATGACGATGGTATCGACCTGCATGGCATTAAAAATAATTATCGACACAAATCCACTCGAAATTGTAATTTACACCCTAAGCGAGCAAGCACCTCGTTAAAACCGAGAAATCAGAAATGAAAGCCCTTAAGCCTATAGCATAGTGTGTGAATCGCAGCAACGCGCACGATAGAGGGGAACAAGATCGTTTTTCTCCTTCTCGTTTGGTTCGCATGCGTATATAAAAAGACGTATACCCGCATGGAAAGTCACACGCACATGCTACAGCTTTGTATTTATATACTGTGAGAAGTGAAGACATTTACACCTCGCTTGCTATATAGATACTTCCGGTCAGCGAACAAGATTTATTCTTTTCTATACGCACTGTGAAAAATCGCGCGAACTCGCTCGAAATCACGTTTTTCTTGTTCAAACAGATAGATAGGAACCGTCGTGTGCTTCTTTTTTTCACGAAAAATCGTGCTTTTGCATTCGAGAACGTGATGAAAAGGTCTACGTCTAAGTATAAGCGGCTGCCTGGCTGTTACTACCTGATCCACCTGGTGTGCGAGCATTTTCCGCGCACGCATAAGCTTCTTTGTTCAGGACGCGAGTGAGGGACAGAGGAGCTCTCGTTTGGATTTCTTTATGAGCGATTGACTATGTGGATTCTGCCTTTAGTTTTGAATGTGTTTCTTGTTCGAGAAGATGGGTGCGAGATTAGACAAAGTGAAAATATGAACAGTCCAGTAAGGGAATTATGATTTTTATAAAATTATTAGTTACAGAAAGTGTCAGTTTTCGGAATTAATATTCTTACAATGTATTCCATTTGAAATCAAGTAACTACTGTAATTGCGAAAAATAAGTAATACGCAAATGGAACATATTATAACTTGCAATAAGGACAAATATGATTTTAAATAAAAAAATTTCTAACTCGGATACACAGAGCTGAAACTTGTTCAATCGTCCGATATACAAGGAAAACCTCCATTTTCTTTCTTTTTTCCTCAATTTCTTCTTCACGCGTCCCAAAAACCTCCAAGTTTCAACGATCCATCTCATTCCATTCAAACGTCTAGTTGTCCCTTCCCGTTACTGTATATATGTCTAGCCGCATACAAGAAAAGCCTGCCTTGAAAAAAAAGAGGACCGTATACCGTTGAAAATTTTCAGGTCCGTAAAGCGATACTCTAGAGCAGCAGCTGATGCACAAACAATTATAATATAAAAAGGACTCGCGATATGGACGACAAATTTTTTCTCCGAAAGAGAGGCTTAGCTTAGCACATCTCATATCGAGAGGCTTTAACATCGATATTGCTTCCTTCGTCGTCTTGAAGGGGCGATGGGACACGCAAATAACGGAGCAAAAGTGGAACAATAATTAAAGTTGACCAGAACCGCCCTTAATCGGTCCTAATTGCGGACATTTACATTTCACTTTTTTTGCGCGTTCACGCGACAATTTTCATCATTCTCTCTCAGATTTCTCTGGCGTTCCTCAGCATCAATTATATATATCCCTCTGGTACAACCAACAACGACGAAAGAAGCGATCATCCATTGAATCGACATAGACAGCTGCGTCCCAAGGAACAAGTAGAGTATATACACAGCCGCGAGCGTCGCAGTATGCTACCGAAGAAGAGGTGCGAGCGCACAAAGGAGGAAATGGTAGAAAAAAGCATCGAGAATGGAAAATAAGAGACGCGCGTAGCTTCCTCTCTCGAAGGTTTTAATCGCTTTCTTCGATGGGGATCGAGAAAGAGAGTTTTATGGAGCACCCATTGTCTTTTAGTAAATACCAAATGGGCGCTTTTTCGTTTCTATAGGCGCGCGACCAAATATCTTCGTATCGATTAATCGAAGGCTGCACGGATCCGATGCCGTCAAACGGTAAATATAGACGTCGCTCTGGTACGCGCAAATAATTGCGGGAAAATCCAAGCTGGCGCGCTCGTGGAAATCACGAACCAGTTGGTTTCCAGCGCACGAGGGGGGTTGCCGGCCTGCGGAGGAAACAGCTGTGAGGAAGCAGGTGCGCATCAGCGCCTGTGACGTAGTCACTGCGCGCGCGTGCCACCGTCCTTCCTGCTTTCTGCTCGCCATCCTTTACACGTGTGGACCAGTCTACCACGCGACACGCGATTTTGCTTTGATTTTGCTCGAACAACATACTTTTATACAGTTTTCAATCCGCGAGATGTTTCTATCGAATGAACAACGACAGCAATGTATACTCATCACCCCCCCCCCCCCCCTCTCACTCACTTTTTGGCCGCGAGAACAGATGCAGCGTGCACCGTCTGCTCGACTTTTTTTCGAGACTACTCCCTCGAGACTGCGAGTGCTGGATCTTTTTTTCGTGGACACGTGGTGCGCGCGCACACGCGCGTGTTTTTTTCAAGAGTACCGTATAAGTTTACTTGAGAGCTCAATGGTATTTTACACTCGAGTTTCTTGTTTAATGAGCGTATATGTGATCATTTTTATTATGGAAATACTTTGTCGCGCAGAAACAAAGTAAGGGGAATTCGAGATTTACGAAGCCGTACTTTGCATATCTTCGGTGCTAATCTTTAATTAAAGTTTTACTTTTTATGGAATTTGCGTGCAAACGGCTTAGTCATGTTGTTGTGTTAAGAAGAAAAAAAAATGAAGAATCGGATAAATCTAATTGCACGGAGAAAAAGCAAACAGAAACTCGCCCCGTGCGCACATATCAAAATCAGATTACCCATCGTGAGCAACACCCTGCCTCCCCGAAAAAAACCACCCCATGCGGAGTTAAAAAAAAAGGAAGAAACGAGAAAGAAGGTTGGTCAGCCGGTTAACTGCCTAGCTATTGTGCGATTATTATTTCGGTACATATCGCGCACTTGTTACCTCATTGTGGGCTCATATGGCGCTCTCGCAATGTTTTCTATCTACGACGTACCGCAACCCCACGAATGGTTTATGGCCAAGTGCTTTTCCCGTATGCTTCATTGTGAATATTCAGAGTATGAAATGCCTTCTTCTGTTGGAGATATAGTTTGAATGCTGATGTATCGCTTTTTGATTAATGAAACTTAAAATGAAAATTTTCACTTCACTTGACACTGTGTAATTTAAAAAATAAGAATATATTTTACTCATAATTCTTATCGGACACTGTGAAATTCCAGCATCAAATTTCCAAAGTGTTGCCCATAAATCTACGACGGCGGCATCTTTTTCTTTTTGCGCGCGTAGTGAGAAGACAAGAGGCTACGCGAAATTAAAACTCTCGCGAAGAATTTCGGTCGCCCGACGCACTCGGTCATTTACTCGCCGCCGTCTCTCGTAAAAGTTGATCATTCGTACCATCCTACGTTACAGTAATCGCTCTCTCTCTCTCTTTCTCTCTTCGAAAAATTCCTCGAATGAAAATCGATGGACAACTGCATACAGATCGATCGAGCAGTGGCCGCGTGGCGTTACAAGTCGAAACATCTGCTTTCTTCAACGGCGTCATAATATACGCAGTCGCGTGTCTCTTGCTCGCGGCCATTCATTATCGTCGGAGACGAGAGAGAGAGAGAGAGAGAGAGAGAGAGAGAGAGAGAGAGAGAGAGAGAGAGAGAGAGAGAGAGAGAGAGAGAGAGAGAGAGAGAGAGAGAGAGAGAGAGAGAGAGAGAGAGAGAGAGAGAGGGCAAAAAGGGATCCGTTCACTCTCCTTCCTTTTTCTTTTGGGTCCATATACGGAACATCTGCGGCAGCTGCAAGGCGAAGGCGCGCGCGACCGGCAGGTGTTCTCCAACTCCTACGGACTCTCTCCTCTCGGTGGTTGTTACGCTGGCTGCTGCAGCCAATTACTACGCGTGCCGCCGTCTTCCGCGCGATGATTCCTCTCCTTTTTTTTCCCTTCCTTCTTTTTTTCTTTTTTTTTTTTTTTGTGCTTTGTCTTCATTTCGAGCGTCGATAATTCCCAATGCCTCAATGCCGATAGTTCGATAGTTTCATTAACCCGAGCCCCGTTACCGATAAAAACAAATGGCTAAGAAAGATTCGAGCGCACGAAATTCGGAGCTGTCGCAAAGCCTCGCGCCGATCCCCGACAAAAGCTTTGCAGTTGGTCGCTCGGCTCGCCCTCCTTCTTTTTCGGGCGCCGAATTATCGCGGGCACGCGTCTGGGGCTTCCTTTTTCTTCTCCTTCGGTCGAGTGCCGCCGGCTGGCGCGTGTATGCATTACCAGATAAGATCCTCCGCAGCTGCATCTCTCTGTCGATGCAGGTATACGATTTTTCCAAGAGTGAAATATATCAGGTTTCTTTGTACACACATACGGCGCGGCCTGCGCGAAATTTCGCGGCCAACTGCCGTATTTTTAAATTAGAAGCGACGAGGGTGTTCGTCTGCGTGTGCAAGAGTGAAAAGTTACACAGGAGGCGTATTGTTGCGAGAGCATTAGCATGCGAGCGAGCGAGAAAGAGATGGGTCTTCTTTTGTATTATGACTTCCTCCCGTGGTGGTTGGTATATGACGAAACTCGAGGATGTAAGTGTGCGTTTCCATAGAATTTTATATTACAACAATGAGAGATCAACGTCGTCGCGAACCTACACAGCTGCGTTTTATTTTCCTTTGAAAAAAAAATTATAATAAAACTAAGCTTCGAATCACGTACGCCGGAAAGTTCAATGCAGTCGGCAAGCCAAATAGCTTTTCGTGTAGTAATTAGCACAGAGTGAAACGAGCTTGGAAGCCGTCCAACATTATCGTGATTAACGATCGAACGAGTGAATAAAATGCAATGATTTATGCACTTACCCATAGAGCATCGCAGCGCCAGCGATTCCGCCACCGCATTGTGCAGCCACGTAAAGAGCAGCACGCAGCGGCGATACTTTTCTGGACAGAGCGAACGACATGGAAACTGCGGGGTTCACGTGCCCACCTGTTCGACACATACACACACACGCGTACACTTAGATGGCGAAAAATCGGGACGGGGAGCTCTTTAACTGTATCGATTTTTTGGTGTTGGGGGACTCAGGTGTTTTTCGTGAAAGCACATTCTGTCGGCGTACGCGCGCGCGAAGGCCCCTGAATCATTCGTATGCAGCAGCGGCGGCGATGGCAGAGGCAGCGACGTCGAATCCGATTGTCTTTGGTCAACGTCGCCCACACGGAACCGAATGAAATGCTTCCCGCGCGTGCATGTATCTGGACAAATAATCTACTCGACGCACAAAGAAAGAGAAGACGAAGAAGTAGCGGCATAACGGGTCTACGCTGAAGAGCGCATCCTAAAAAGATCTTTCTTCTTCTTCTTCTACGAATCGTCATTTGTCTTTTATATGTACCCCTGTATATGTTAACTCGCGTACATACAGAGAGAATCGGTTTAACGAGGCAATCGACGAAAGCCGCAAAAACGAGCGGGTAATAAGATACTCGTTTTGTTCGTTTCTTTTTATTGTTTCGTGTGCGTATATGTAGACTTATCTCGCGAGCTTTTGTAAAATCGAATCAATGGAATCACTTTTTCTTTTTTTATTCTTTATTATGTTTTTGATAGTGTTAATTTTACGAGTGAAAGAGCCACGATGTTTCGAGCGATTGTGTTACCGAATTCAAATGGGAACACAATACTTTAGAAACAACTGTTTCTAGAAAATAAAAATAAAAAAGAAAAAACATGCAGCACGAGTGAATTAGCCTCAATTGTCCGTCACGAGTGAATTGATGTGTGCGTGCGTGCGCGCGCGCGCGCGTGTATGGGTGTATGTGGGGGAATAGCTAGCAATCGCAGAAAAGTACAGGAGAAAACTCACCGCTAACAGGACCGAAGATCAATTGAATAGCGGCAACGGCAAAGCCCGAAGCGATTGCAGTGGTGAGTACGTTCAATCCACTTCCTGATACGGATGAAGCGGTGGATGCACCAGCGACGACGAAGGCGAATAAAAACGTAGCGAAGCACTCGACTGCAACGGCACGCCAAAGCTCAAGACTCTTCGCCTCGATACCCATCGGCTGCTTGTGCTCGATTGGCTGTCCGTTCGCGTCCAATTGATAATGCGTGCTCTCCTTCAGTGCCGACAGTTTCGTCAGTAACGTCATGATGTGGTCGTCAACTTCGCGAGTCAAGCTTGCGGTGGACGTCATTTTCCGATCTTACGTTCGATCTCGATAGTTTAGCCTCACGCGAGCATTTCACACGCGCGACAGAGGAAGCTTTGACTTTGAGCGCGAGGGTGGCACTGGAGACGGAGCAATACTGTGGTGCGTACGTGCGACCTCGCCGACGCCGCGTTCTGGAATGAACAAGTGTGCCCCGCGCTGCTCCGCTGCTTTCAGCTGCACCCCCACCGCCCTTCCCTCGCGCTTCCTATACAGCTGTTCGCGCTAGCTGAGTAGAGGGGCTCTCGCGTTTTTTTTTGATTCTTTGGCCGGCTGCACGATTTTTCGACTGAGGGGAGAGGGAGAGGGACTCGCGTGTGTAGCTGACCTTATATAATTGCTGTGCGGCCCTTTTTTCGGCGGATGAGTATAGGTGTAAGGTTTTAGTAGGAACGCTAGGTGGTTGTACGATTTCTGAGAGCGAGATCGTCCATTGTAGCGATTATGAATTGAAATCGTCTTCTGAGAGATCTGTCGAGAAACTGTACAATGTACAATGATTTACTTAAAAACATATTGGCTTACAGCAGAATGACCGATTGTGTCCGACTGCAAACTTGCACGCCGTGAAACAATTACGATTACAGCAAACATTTTTTATTTGAAAAAAGAGTTTTGTATGACCGATTCAGAAGATTTTGCTGACCGCCATCGCCAATTCAAAATTAATCGCCTCGATATTGTTCGACAACAAAACTCTATAACACCGAAAGAAAGGACCATACACTAAAAAATTACGTGCCTCATAAAAGTGGAGATTTCAGGAAAAGCCCGAAGCAGCGGTAGCTTGGTCGCGGTCGAGAAAAGAAGAAAAGGAAAAATCCTGCTGAGCACGCGCTGCGCGCGTGTACTGTTGCCAAAGCACGATGATGCGCGGCACCCCCACCATCCTTTTAGGAGCCCGCCCGACATTCGTTCCATGATCGCCTTTAGCATCTGCCGCCGTGCATATCCTTAGACCTCAATTTCAAAGACAATTCAAGCTTTCAGGCACTCGTTTATCGACGTGGACTTGTTAATTGCTTAAAGTATCCAAAAAGCGTTTATTGACTTTGCGGGGGAAAAATGAGTCACTTGAATATTTGATGACTTTTTTTGCTCTCCCTCGTTCTCGAACTAAACGACAGCGAGAGGTGGATTAACGATGAAAATTACTTTACGGCGAAGATATGCGGTGAAATTAAGAGGACTGAAAAAGTTGTTGCCGGCGATTATAAATCGGGAATTTCATTCTTTCGAACGTTTCTCCAACTGCGCGGGGCAACCTAGAGTTTTAATTTATACTTTGTTTGACGTAATTAGCGCGCTCGTTGCCCTTGCTGTCCGACTTTAAATTAACTGTCGAGCGTAAATAATTCTCAATGCAACTTTTCCGTGCCACGTGAAAATGAATTTTTATTTTATTTCGGGCTCAGTCATGCAGAACAGAACTTTTTCAGGCTTCAACTTATTATTACATAATATTCATTTCGAGCGTGTATCAAAGTTCATGAATATACTCGAACGTCATTATTTAATAGATTTTCTAGGAAAAAAATCTGCATAGTGATGTTTGGAAAGTGCACGAGAGCGTTGAAGTATTAAAATAAATCGACCAATTAAGGAAGATTAAGGCTTTGCCTCGATTTTACAACCAATGGGGGAATTCTCTCGTTTCGGAGGCCCTTTTGAGAATTATACAAGTGCTCGCGTAAGAGAAATGTGCGCGTTCAATGAATCGTTAGAGACGAGTGTAAAGGAAAGGGGGAAAAAGGGTTTTAAAGTGGCTGTTATTTCAATTGGACCAAGGTTTTAAATTGTTAGGAGAATGTTAAGGAGGCGTCGATTCATCTCTTTAGGATATCACAATTTTTCCGATGATTAGAGTGCTTCCATTTTTTTCCAACCTTATTTTATTTATATTATCTTAGTACGCATATACAAATGCGAACAAAACTAGGAACAAAAAAATGGGTAAAAATCCCATCAGTCAGCAATATCCACACGCGCATACAGTATAAACCCTATCGTTATTTTAATCTAATCGCTGTCGGGGATAGCATTTATCCGAGACTTGGTGATAGCAACACGAATCTCACTTTTAAAGCGCACAAAGCACTTTTTCGGCACGGCACGACTTGTCGTGTCGATCAAATGGGACATACACACACACACACACACACACACACACACATTTGGAGCTGTGTAGTATAGAAAACAACGCTGCAAGAATTTTCTCAGAGAAAGTTTTAATGTCGCGATCGTGCTGTCACTTCGAATGCGGGATAGATAGATGCGGGATTCTTTGTCGATAGGTTTTAACTTATGTTTATATTAATAATCTTATGATCGTCTTTATTGAAGCATGAATATACATTTTTCGATAAGAATAAGAATTTTTAAAAGTCATTCTCAAGCAATAAATGAAATCTTCTTCATCTAATTTGCCGCAATTAAAAACTTGCTCACAAGTAGTTTTTCCTATTACAATCTATTTCTCTCCCTTTTAATAAATTTTTCATGAATGACAAATAAAATAACAGCCTCATTAAAACTCGAGGAGAAAAGTTGACAAGGCGCAAATAACTCAATTGAAACCATTGTTAACTGTAGCGCTGTGCAGTGCAAGAAGAGCGTATCGTACCGATAATATGTGGGCGGCCTGACTCATACTAGTATGCGCTCATAAGTGCACGATACGTTTTACACACGTCAGTTTCGACCGAACGCTCCATTCGCGATGAGCCGCTGTTATTGCTGTAAGTGTGTGTCTCTTTCTCGCTGTCATTGATGATTGATCGATAGTTTATTTTTCTTATTTCCGCTGGTGAAGTGAACAAGTTTTTTTGGTGAATGATGAGATATGTGATGATAGTTTTGGTTGCGAGGAATTTATGAGTGTTGTTATAAGCGTTTATTTATTTATTTAATCATTCTAAATAAAATGTCTATGATTATCGGCATGAATATCTACTTTTCATTCATTTCGTTTTTAGTAGTGAAATCAAAAAGAAATTTATAAAACTATTATAAGAGTAAATATTTATTTCGATTGAGATTAAAATTATCAAACACATTTTGTTAATTATTTTTAAGTTATTTCTGAAATTGTTTCAAAGTTTAATTAAATTTCTTGAAAGCAACATTTTCTTACGGCGCAGCTGAGATACTTAATACAATTGAGTTTTTCGCGATGACAAGTGAATCACCGTTTCCTGCTCATCGAGTCGTTGATTCATGGTTTCGTTGACTTCTATGAATGAAAGTCAATTGGCATATATAGTTTATAATTACATGCTAAGTTTCTTACGTAACTTGGAGAGATCATAAATAAATCACAGTCACACGTTATGTAGCCAATTAGGCTTATGTGTCAAGCGTCAATGAAAAGTGCATTATTTTTTTATGCAAAAAAAAATGAGTCATAAAATTTATGTTTCGCTATTGTTTCAAAAGTTCTGTAGCAAATCCAAAAAAATAATCAAACATAACTAGGTTTACTTTGTATATACGCTTGATGATCCTTATAATGAATTTGTTGCTTACAAATTATTTACGGTACAGATTTTTGTGAATAATTATCTTTTAAATTTTGATAATGTAATCGAATAATGCTGGCGTTGTGGTAATTTATCTGTATATTGTACGTAGCTGGTTGCGTGTTTACTGTGAAAATATTTTAATTAATGCTCGGAAATAAAAGAGATTAGGAAATTTAATGCCATAAAATACTAGTCAGCATCCCTTTAGTAAAATAGAATGAGCTCACACTCCAGGTTATAGTGATAACGTCGCGTACACATCTAATTCTAAGTAGAATAGTATATTGTTAGTATAAACTATTATATTTATTTAAATAAAAGTTATTAGGCAACTGTGACTGAAAAACATCAGGATGTAATTAAAATTTCAGATAAATGAGTAACAGTACTCGATCTAACTGGCATCTAAATTCCTCTATCCTGAAATGTACACTTGGGAAAAAGACGCGTGCTGCTCCATTCTTAGATGAGGCGCACAATTAATCGCGTGAGAACTTCGTCTGACGGTAATTTAAGCTTGTCGTGTCGAAGGCGTTAATAAGTAACTCGTGAACGTTACCTTAAAGTAAGCTTCCTACATCCTACATTAAAAAAACAAAATAAAAAAGGAAAACCACTCTGCCCGCGTTTTTTCCATTATACCTACGCATCAAAAGCGCACACGCGCCACGCAGAAAAGAGATTCGAAAACGGAATTAAAGCGGCGACGGCGACGACTTTCTCGTTCCCTTTCCCTTTTTTCGCCTCAGAAGCAAAAGCTGCACGCGCGCTGACACAAATGCGAAACGATGTAAAAAGCGCGCAGTCGAGAAAACGAGCTTCGTTTATCAATGTTTTATGCCGTGCCTTTGTGGCTTTTGAGAGAGATGGTGCATTTATTTTGCCACTTGGAACAAAAAGCCTGGGCATAAGGTTCAAAAGTTTGTGAGTAACACAGCACACGAAATATGTTTTTTTCTTTTTTTCGTCTTCTTTTTTATTGATTAATTTTTTTACTATAAAATATAATACACATATTATGAATATTTTATTTTTCAAATTTATTACGGGTTGGTGAATTTCACGTTTCGTTCACTCGCGCTATCTAAACGTGTCATTTCGCGCTTTCAAAGAACGCCTCTCGCGTAAAAAGTTACGACAGTTATATAGGATACAATCAACGTGCCAACTACGGAGAATGACGAGAAAATGACATTCGTCTACTTGTTGTGATTCTTTGTATAACTGTATATTTCTGACAATTTTTTTTAATTCTCTATACATGTATTGAATAGAATTCACATGAGATTTATACTTTTGAACATTTTTTCCGAGTTTTTTTTTCCGCATGGACGATAGCGTCAATCATTTAACGAAAAATAGTTTCGTTGGCTAAACATTCTCCCACCACATTATCTAACAGACTATTCATTCGCATTCATTCATCTAAAAAGCTCGAGCCTTCCCAACCGTAACACGATCACATACCGACTTTTCTCTCGTAAAATACCAAACCTGTGCGCAGGAGGGCAGCAGCGCACAGCTACAACGTCCAACCTCTCACCTGCGCTGCGTACAACGCAGCAACTCTCGCTCTCAGCAGTAGTGTAGTGTCTGTCGTGTGCTCGTTTCGACGGCGCGTGGACAAAGATGGCTGCAGCACACGCCTACCTTGGCTACTGCTACTGGCTTCTCGTCGTCAACAATGTGATTCGAGCACAAGATTCGCGTAGTCGTTACGCGAACACTCATTACAACCCTGCCGACACTTACGGACCACAACCACCAAATTCGCCTAGTTACAGTACGTACTTCTTCAAGGACCGCAGATATGGGTACCAACCGAGTTACCTGGACCCTTGGTACAATCGTGGACCCACCAGAGCACCCGAGGACCGTTTTCAATTCGACGTGAGTGTTATTTTTACTTATATACGTACAACCTGTAGGAATTATTGTACTTTTGTTTTGATCGCGCGGGTGGCGACGGGTGGTGGCGCCGCGCGCCGAAGACGCGCGCTTTCGCAATATACGCACAGATTTGTTATCAAACAAAGTATTAAAAGTTCACATTCGAATTTTTACGTTACATCCGAGTGAACTGTGTGCGAGTAGTTTTAGCATGGTTTTTGCTCGGCGATGTAACGTAGATAACGAGCGCGTCGGTTGAATCAGCCTAATTGATAATAATTAGGCCCTTCCTATTCTTTTGTGTACTCACTACACCGTCTGCAGAGGAAATTCCTGCTCAAGACGTAAATTATTCGCTAGATTTTCTTAATTATAAGGTTGATGCATTTTTACAACGCTGCTTTGTTTTATAGGCAACTGAAAGAGCTCCTTTACCCGGGGTCTTGGGTGGTTGGCGCGCCGACCTTCAAGGTCGCGAACGCACTGATTCGAAAAATCTAGAGCGCGATGTATTCGTGACAACTCACTACGGTTCTGTGCAAGGGTTCAAAGTTTATCTGTACGATCAGCCAGAGGCGAGGCATCGCTCTTGGAGTCTTCCTGTCGAGCGTGTCACATCGAGTGTCAATGTGTTTCTTGGTATTCCGTATGCAATGCCACCTGTTAAAGAGGGCAGATTCAAACCGCCTCGTGTTCACAAGTGAGTTTTGTAATTGGAATGTACGTATGTAATATATTGACTATGGTGTTACACGTGATATTGTAGAGGTTGGCATCTGATGCAAGCTGTCGATTGGGGACCAGCGTGTCCGCAACCTAGCCAATATACAGGGGCTACCAAGGGCGTTAATGACGTCGATGAGGACTGCCTGTATCTCAATATTTTTAGCCCTAATGTAAGTATTATTAATCTTTAAAATACTCCAACAACTATACGTACTAAATATTGCTTGAATATTATATTGTAGATCAATTCTGGATTGGCCAGAATGTACCCAGTGATGTTTTACATTCATGGCGGTGAATTCATTCACGGAGCCAGTAATCTTTTCCCAGCTCACATACTCGCTGGATTTTACAATGTTACCGTTGTTTCCATTAATTACCGTCTCGGTGCTTTAGGTAAGACATTCGAGTTCATTTATGAAATGAAGAAAATAACATATCGATCAATCGAATCAGGTTTTTTAAGTACTGGTGACGAAAATAGTCCTGGCAACTACGGTATTCTCGACATGGCGATGGCATTGAGATGGGTTTATGAAAATATTAAATTTTTCAATGGTGATCCTGAAAAAATTACACTGTTTGGTCCTGGTGCTGGAGCTGCCAGTGCTGGTCTTTTAATGTCTGCACCAAGGTATTTATATACAATTATCATCCGTTTCACTTATTTCTTAACTATTATAACATGAATTTTTACAGAACACGTCATATGGTCTCCAAAGTGATCGCACAATCAGGTTCAGCTCTTGCCGACTGGTCACTAATAGTCGATATGTATCGGGCACAAAATACCTCACGAGTTTATGCTGAAATGTTAGGTTGCAGTATCGAGAGTAGCTGGAAACTCGTACAATGTTTGAAAGATGGTAGAAGCTTTTACGAACTTGGTAACGCTGAATTCAAACCACACGTTGGTATGTTTCCTTGGGCACCGGTTCTCGATGTCAATTTCACTGTGCCCAGAGATTATTACGACTCTTGGAGTGCATCTGATTGGCATTTCTTTACCGAGACACCGGAAGAGAGTATCAAAGCTAGACGATATCGAAAAGACTTGATGTATATGTCCGGAGTTACTACTCAGGAAGCAGCTTTTCTTTTATGTATGTTGAAATTCTTTCTGTGCATATTGAAAATTTGAAGTGGTTTTAAGAGTTTCCTGATCGGTTTTTTGCAGATAATAATGCAACTTTAGCAAGAACCGACTGGACAATAACACCCGAGATATTCGATCAAAAAGTCTGGGAGTTGGTTTTGCGATATAATTACACTCTGAATCCTTGGGGTGTTTACGAAGCTATTAAATATATGTACACTTATTGGCCTGATCCAATGAACGTCACGCATGTTAGGAATCAATACGTAAACGTAAGTCTTCCATTTTTTTATTTTCGTTATTCAAAGTTAAAAAGCGAACGCTTCTGTTCCGTAGTTACTCTCAGACTTCCATTACGTTGCACCGCATGATAAAATTGCCAAGCTCCTGGTCGAGCGAAACGTACCTGTCTTTTTATATGTATTAAATACAACGATCGAAGCATTTAATTTGCCACAGTGGCGAAGTGTACCTCATGATATTGAACATGCTTTGTTAACTGGGGCTCCATTTATGGATACGGAATTCTTCCCAGAGAAATTGAAATTCAAAAGAGACATGTGGACTGATAATGATCGAAATATGAGTCATTTCTTCATGAAAGCTTACTCAAATTTTGCTACTTGGGGGTAAGTTATGGAAAACGAATGAAGGTTTTGACTGATAATAATGAATTCTTATGATAATAATTCCTTCTATGTTGAATTGTAGAAATCCAACGCCATCGCAAATTTTGGGACTCCACTTCGATATGGCGAAATTTGGCCAATTGAAGTATTTGAATATCAATACAACCTATAATAGTACGATCGAAATCAATTATCGACAGACTGAGAGCGCATTTTGGTCGCAGTACTTACCCACGGTAATTGGTCGTTTAGTACCCACGTATCCACCGACTACGGAGGTAAATACATACTTAAACACACAACAGAAATTTGTTTTTCTATCTCTAATCAATCATCTTCTTTTATTGCAGTACTGGTGGGAACCAAAGCAGCCACTCCAAATAGCATTTTGGTCGATGTCGACAGCCTGTCTTCTACTCATCGTCATGGCAGTGGTGTGCTGCATGCTTTGGCGTAACGCCAAAAGGTAAGCAAAAGGTAAACAGAACCGAATCCATGTGAGACTATCGCTTTGGAAAAAATTCACAAAATCAATGGTGGGGACATCAATTTGATTGGTAGTGCACGTGATGACTGGTTCTGGTTTATATTTACTTTTATTTTAACTTTGGTATATAGAACAGTACATATCATCTCATGATAGCTATTAATTCACGGTACTAACAGTTGTAAATAATTCCCTAATTTACCCCTATAGTAAATCGGAAGCTGCTCAGGAATATGCAGGTAACATATTTCTCTGAATAGTTGGAGATATAGTATTTCAATTTTTTATTTTCTTTTGTCACAGATAATTATTATTAGGATAGAAACTGTAGCACAAGTTTGATCAAGTCGAAACACTAATGCTTCATAAATATTTGCACTTATAATTGCGGGGTACATACCAATCACATATTTTATATTTTAAATGTTATTTTTCTATATATTATGATTTGCATTTGTAAATGATCGCACGATTCAAATTGTAAAGCAATACTATTTATATTATGTTTGCACCGTTCATAAATAATTTTAGGTTTCTAGCATAATTATTAAACTTTTTGATAAATTTTTCAGTCATAAATTAAAAAAAACATCGTTTGTAAAATGGATGTTTCAAAATTACCACAACCATAGCAATAATAATAATATCCTAAATTCTTTTTCATTAAACAGACAGTCAGATCACTACTATAGCGGAGATATCTTGATGGTACGAGACGACGACACCTCCGAAGGAATCGACAATCTAACCCGAGCATCTAAAGAAAATGTATACGAGTATCGCGACACACCACCAGTTCGTACGCGAATGCAGCATTTGCGAGCCCAACATCAGCAGCAGCAACAGCAACATGATATCAAACTTCAACAACGTTTAGCTCAAAATCGAAAATTTAGTTCGACGCCGTCGCTGAGAAGTAATTCGAATACTTCATTGAAAGAGAGAGGAGAAGATTTCGTGACGAGTTCACCGAATGGGCAACCAAGAAATACTATTAACAGGGCATCCAGTCAGAGTAGTCTGCCGAAAAGTAAGAGTAAGACGCATCTTATACAAGGTGTACCGCAGACGGCTGTGTGAGATCTTCTGTTATGGACGTTGTTTCTAATTTTCGAGTGGTGAGCTATTTATTTTGTTTAGTGTGTTCGTTGGTTGGTCTTGGCGATTGAGATACAATAGAATATTGTGGCCTTAGATTACAGTGTCTTCGTGTGTACTATAGTTTGATGAAAAATAGGAGTTTGTGATGGTAACGCGACACAGGATTACATTGTCGAAAATATTAATTTGTGGATGATAAATTCTTTTATGCTTGTTGATGATCTTGTTGTAACTTAAAGGAATGCCATACCTCTATTTTGCCGATTTTTTCTTTGAAGCGTATTTTCTCCTAAAATACGCATCGTAGGATGTTCATACTTCGGCTCGTAATTGATTATTAGATAATAAAGTGAATACGGTGTTGATGAAATAGACAAAAATTGTTTATGTCCACAGCAACATTTCACAGTGACTGTTTATTTTTTTTTAATAAAATTGTTGATCTAATTTTTTTCTAGAAAAATAATTTTTGTTAATTTCATCAACGGTTGATCGTATTTCGTTTTGTTATCTAATAATCAATTAATTGCTAAAGTATGAACAATATCTGATGCCTATTTTAAGAAATAATATGCCCCAATGAAAAAGCCGGCAAAACAGAGGTATGGCTTCTTGTTAAAACCTACGCCATACCGAAGAAACTGAAATATTGTTTTGTGTAAAATATCATGTGGTGCTTTTATAAGTAAAACCAGTTTGAAATGTAATTCTCAATCGTCAATTTTTATCAGCAAAGTTCATATGTTATTCACACAAAAATGTTGTTAGGCTGGAATAAGTGTGTAAAATTGTATGGGTGTGAAAACAGCACGGCGTCTGTCGTAATGCTTTTTAAATCTAGAGAAACCAAGTTCGAAGTGCAAGTATAAACCTTTTTAATACTTTATGTTGCATAATTTTTCATGATTACCATTTTGTTGGCTGTCCAGTTGTAGTTACATCGCTTTAGAATCATATGTACAAGTATATCTTTTATAAGAAGCGTATAGCTTTTTATATAATTTTTTTATTATTTTACATGATGTATAATTGTAAGGATTGACGACAAAAAGTATGTATGTATTGTATATATGACAATAATTTGAATTATTGCTCTTTTAAAGGTTTTTACATCGTGAAATAGTATAACTTAAATTTGAGAAAGTTTGATAACACCGTACATGTTCTTTTTTTATTAAGTATTACTTAAAGTTTTCTCTCTAACGTTGTCTTTATGAGTGACTTTTTTATACGATGATGCCCACTGCCATCATAATATTTTTCGCCATCGTTATTTTTTTAGTCATTCCAATTTTTTACTTTTTAGCTGTTAAGTATAACATATCCGTCCAATAAACTTATGAAATTTATTATGTATAATCTATATGGTATTCCTCTATTGTATATTTTAAATTGTATTTTATAAAATTATTGATCCTATTTACGATTTGGTAACTTATAAAAACTTAATAATAATTTTGCAATTTGCATAGATAATTTAGAATATCGAATTAGTAAAAATTATTATTTAATATCTATTTAGAATCAAAATCATGACTGCAAACTATGAGTGAATGACTATTCACATTTTAATTAGATGCGAGTAGTATTTTTTATTATTTAAGTTAGCGATTTTTTATTAATATAATAATTTGTTCGTATCGTAACGAACGGAAAATAAACAAAGTAAACTTCGAGCTTTAAAAATCATTGTTTATAGTTAGATATCACTGATCTCATTTGTTAATCACCGATTTTCGCAATTTAGATTGTAAGTTTAATTACAATGAAATTTATTAAAATCACCGACTAACATATCAAATGTCTCATTGTCCATTATATCAAGTAGAATGCAACACCAAGCATTTGTCAATAGTTTTAATTAAATATCCATAACTATAGTTTTTATATATTTTGTTACAGACATCAGATAAAATTACATATTTTTTGTATATGAAAGCGACTCAAATATATCTTTTATTGTACTGAAGAAAATGAGTTATTTTTGACTTAATAACATTTTTTTATCTCAACTAATATCAACGTAAAATTGGTATAATCGGATATTTAAAGTGTTCATATTAGCTTTTAGTAAATTACAGTTTTATATGAAATGATTTCTGAAATAATATAGTCGATGATTTATTCATGGCCATTATATCTCAAACCTCAGCATGTAAATAAAATCTTATTTCAAAATTGTACTGTATACTTTAATAAAAATATTTCTTACGAATATTTACAACTATTGATCTCTGAAGTTAGCGCGTGAAAGTTAGTAGATACCTTTCACTTCCTATGTTTACTTTTTGATATATATATATTGTACTATAGCCTGTCAAGAAGTTTTACTTGAATCAAATGGTTAACAAAAACGGAAAGAAAAAATCAAAGGTATCATTACCAATTCGGTATAATAATCACTGCTTGTACAGAAAACAAAGAAATATATTTTAAAATTGATTTCAAATAATGTTGATGTGCAGCGTGATATCAGAAACAAACGTTATATCTCAATAAATTGTGCTCATTGCCATTAATAGTAATTTGGTTCTTTTCAAAAAATGAAATTTTCGTGATAAAATTAAACCTTCCAAGATACTCAAAAATCCTCCTGTTCACAAACCACAATCAATATAATTTTTTTTTCTTGAAGAAATGTCTGACAGGCTCAGGTCCCGAGCGTCCGAACCGTGCCGAGGAGGACACAAGTTTCGAGCCACTGAGTCTGGAGGTCAGGTATCCAGACACTGCGATACTGTTGCTCAAAAGCCCAGAGCAACCCATCTTGTTAGCTGCCGCTGCGGCTTTGACCAATTTCGGTGCCAAAGCTCAAGGCAATCTCGAGACTCTCTTCGATCTCAATATTGTAGACAGTGTATTAGCACTGGTGAACCACGACGACATGTTCACGCGCAGGTTCGACATTTATTTGCATTTATGAGTCCGAATTCGAAGTATTTTTCAATGGCTTTATATTTTCCAACAAATCAAAGCGACATATTTTTGAAACTTGAAATAAGTTGAATTCAGCAATTAAAAAACTCTTGGAAAACTAAATATCTGACGAACGTGTTATACGTATATAACTATATATAAGTTTCCGTTTTTAACTGCGTAAAATATTGCATTGTTAATGCATCGTTCACGCGATAAGTGATTCACTAGAATCACGTAATTATCTGGACAGCCGGAGGCGCGCAGTTTCTATAAGGATGCTCTTGATGAAAGTATTATGGTACGAGAAAAAAAATAAACTAGCTGGCAGAGTCAACTCAACTCTCGCATGGAACAGTAGCACAAGAAAGTTTTTTTTCATTACTTTATTTTTGTGCGAATTGATATTTATATATATTTATTTATTTTAGTAGACTTTTATCACGTAGTTTGTTTTGAAGTAAATAGTTGCTGAAGTGTTTGAATAGATATGGTTTTAGAAAATATGGAGACGGTATGTTAATAACAATATTCTTATTTATATTGAAACAGTTTGAATATTATTACTATTACTATTTACTACTACTATTTATTATTACTATTTACTGCTTTCAAGTAAATATTAAAAAATTGTAATCGCTGTACTAAATGAGTTATCCGTAACTAATTATTTTTTTAACATCATATACATACAGGAAAGTTTATGTAATCGTAAGCAAGGTCGTCTATATATTTATAGAACGAGCTAAAGAATGTGAACAGTGTAGTAAAAAGAATGTATGTATTATTAGTTTTGACGCCAATGAAATTGCGACGATATTTTTTAATATTTTACTAGTAAAAATTATGAAGTTTTAAATACTACTAAATTTCATTTTAAAACTATAGAAATCGAAATCTCCGAATATGTCTACGCCACATACAGAAAAATGTAATAATTCAACCATATTTTTCAGTGTAGTGAGTATTTCATTTGATGAATTTTGTTATAAGTCTTAGAGAATAAGGTATGAAAAAGGTCTCAAATATGAGAATTCTTGAAAAATTATTCTTAAATTCATAACATTATTTTAAAATTTTTTTTTTATTTCAAAAAAGATTTTACTTAACTTAACATAAATTAATTTGCGAATGCAGTAAATTTAACAACTTTTTTGTAGTCACTGTATTTTTTTAAATCAGAACCGAATATACTTTTTATAATTATACAAAGTTTATTTGGATTAACAACGTATTCTAAACTATGCGAATCAAATTTTTTACAGGTTCGCCCTGAAGCTTCTCGCGCTGATGTCCCCTGTCCGAAATGTGCAGGCTCACCTGTTGCGGGACGATACATACATCCAGCATTTCACTGACATTCTTGCCAACGAGTCGGAAGCCTTTCTCCAAGAGTTCAGCTCGCGTATTTTGGCTGAGCTGACGAGCGATCCCACGGCCTCGGCAATGCTACTCGACAAATTTCAAGATTTAAGCTTCCTTTTTTCAAGACTGCTTTCTCCCGATCCGGATATCAAGAAAAATTGTGTTGAAATTCTTGCGAATATATTGCAAGATTTGTACGGGAAAGATATTGTAGCTTCGTCGAAGGTGCAGAGTTTATTTTATATTTCATCTTATAAATTCAATTTTTTATGGTAACAATTTTACAATATTGAAAACTCATTGAAAAAAATTTTATTTAAATGATAACATATTTTATTTGGCAATAATTCTTTGAAAGGTTATCTTATTGAACAGCTAAAATATCCGTTTCACCTTGAATATAGCTTATCCCATCCTATCTCAAATATATTTAGAATCGCACTACTTTCTGTCGCTAATCTCCTGAGCTTTCAAGCATTACATAAAACTCTAATTAGTGACGAAATTAACAATGACTCCCAAAAGCTCGCTAAAAGCATTTAAATAATGGAAGAGCTGCATACTCCTTTTTTATTTTGTTTTTCCTCAAAATAATTGATGGACGCAATGCAGGATTTTAGTTATGAGGCGATCTATGAATTGTTGAAGCAGCCTTATCCGATTATCCAGCAACTTGCGTTGGATGCTATCGAGCAGCTCGTTATACATATTTCAGACGATTTCCTTCAGGAAAATTTCCGGCGATCCTACGGCGTTCAACGTTTGCTTGATATTCTCGAAGTAAGACTCACTTTATTTTTAAAATTTGTTCAATGTATTGCTAATAGTAATGAAAAAATGTCCCATTTTTAATTTAAGTGAAAAATTTTTTTCCTTATTATCTTTTTTTTAGTATTTAAGAACAATAAAGATTATTAATCAGTTTTCCATTATTATTGTAGAATGAAGAATGGAATGACCTACACAGTAAAGTACTAAAAATCATCAATCTATTTTGTTACAATGAAAAGACTTCCGAGTTCATGAATAATACTGATGGCACAAAGCGGTTGTTTGGCTTCATGGAAAACACTGCTATCAAGGATTTTAGATTTACAGCTTTGAGTATATTAGTTAATTTGGCTGAAAATGCAAGTGGCAAAAAGGTATATTGCTACTCCTTGTCTTAATTATATTATACTCATCAGTTCGTACCACAATAGGTTTTACACTCTCAGGGAATAATCGAGTCACTGGTCAAATATTTCGAGAGTGATATTCAACCCGAAGTTCAAGCAACAATCTGCCGGGGATTATCCAAAATGATTCACTATAGACCAGCAGCTACAGAACTATCACAACAGAATCCTTTCAATTATATTTTGAGTAAAGATGATTGAATCCTTTCCAATTTCCATTTCTAAATAAAATCTTCAACAATCCAATAATTTCCTTTTAGATCTATTAAGTAACGACGAAGCGAAATGGTCTGAAAGACAAACAGCCGCCTTCGCCTTGAAAGAACTCCTCTCGGTGGATTTTCAAAACTGCATAAATTTCCTCAACAGTAACGGCCATGTAAAATAAAATAGTTTATGATAATAATCTTTCTTCGAATGAAAGTAAATTTTCTTATACAGGCTCAATTGATGCGTCTCATCCAAGAGCAATCGGCTCCCGTGGAAACTCGCGTAACCGTCATTCAAATAGTATCGATACTCGCTGATTATTCATCTCTCACCGAAGATTTGATAGATTTAAATCTCTTTCGCGCGCTTTCCTCCGTGCTCGAGGTAAGATTAACAAATTTATCGTGAATATTCATATAAAGACCGTTCTAACATTTTGATGAGTTGATTCAAAAAATTTTTTTTCTTTCTTTTACGACTTTTTTTTACGAAAATCTTATAGTATTTTAAGTATTTTAAGTATTTTATGACTTTACGTTCAATGATGAAAAATAATTTGTTATTCTTTTAATCAACGATTAAAAAGCTATTGGATGATTTGAATTTTTATTTTTAATATTTAAGTTAGTGTGATAATTATCATTCATAAGCAAGTTAAATCGTTCTCATATAACGATAATTAACATTGTTCATAAATGTTGGATAAAATACACGTCAACGATTCTTAATAATATTTTAATGATAATCTCATGTTATTTAAATTTGTACTTTTTAAATAAAGAAATAAATTACTTGATTTCATTGCTCTCCATAATCTAATTGAATAAAAACTTGCTGGAAAATACAATATTAATTTCTCGTTTCAAGAAATAGATTTTTTTCTATTTAGTAATATGAATATTATAAGGTATTACACAACTGTTTTTTATTTAAAAACTGACATCAGCAATAAAATTTTTAATCAATTTATGTATACACATGCATATTTTAAAAAAATATTAATGTTAGTATTTCATTTCTCATTTTTACGCAATCAAATGCCATACCGTTGCTTGACGTTGAGAAAATTAGTGTAATGTTTTTTCCTTATTAGACGTCAATGCTGTCATTTTATAAAGAAACACTGAAATTTTTCCTTTGCTGTAATCGTATAAAGAACTTTTAATATGAATATGAAATGATCTACCAGATGTTTGACCCTTCTTCCACGAAAAAAAAGCTTATCTCTACGAGTGTTCATTCTTCAATTTTATATTTGTCTGTCTATATTTATAAGTTTCTTAAAGTGCCAGTTCCATGCAGACGTTTCATAGACATGGAGTCGATCAGAGTAGTGTTTATTTCGAGTTTATTTTGGTTCGCCGCGTCAATTGTTGTGATTTATATTTATTTGAAGAATGTAGTTTATGGCGTTTGGAATAGAAAGAATGTACCACACGATCATCCATCAATACCCTTCGGAAATGTCCCATTATCGTTCTTCATGGGGGAGACAACACACGGTCAGTTCAATATGCAGTATTGTGTAGATAAAATGATAATCTGTATCCAAAATTTTACATTTAGGAGAATTGGTGAAAAAAAGTTATCATAAATACAAAAACTTTCGATTTCACGGTATCTACATCCTCTGCGAGCCAGTTTTAGTGATCAATGATCCTGAATTGATTCAACTCGTGCTTGTGAAAAATTTTACTCAATTTTACAATCGAGGAGTCTTGTCTGATGCGGAAAAAGATCCATTGTCTGCTCATTTAGCCAGACTCGAAGATGAAAAGTGGAAGAGGTTGAGAAGCAAGCTTTCGCCGACTTTTACATCTGGGAAATTGAAACTTATGTTTCCGTTGATTAAGGAGATTTGCGATCAACTTATTAATACTTGCGACAATGCTCTGGAATCGTCTGATATTATTGAATTGAAAACAATCATAACAAGGTAAATACAAAACTATTATTTATAGTATAACGTAGGACACACCCTATTATTTATGCGGAGTGAAAACAAGCTGTAAACGTAGACTCGAGTAATTGGTTAAATACATCTTAGGTATTAAGAAATAGGATTTATTTATTCCGAAAATGTCTAAATTGTAGTGTAGCTGTATAATTATACCGATTATTTTAATTATATAATTATTATATGCATAAAAAATTAGAGTTCACATAACTTCGCATTTTAACTGAACAGTTATAATTGAATCAGCAAGTCAGTAAACTACAACAAAATGTTAAGTGTGCAGTAATAAAATTATGTTTATTTAAAAAATGAAAAAAGAAGTTTTAGGTAAGGTGAAGCATGGCGAAGCATATTACATTTTTTATAGAATCTTTACAATCAACTTTTCGTATGATTTCTAATTTTATTTAATTTAATTTTTGTAAAATCAACTCGTTTGAATAATTCTCCTCCTATCTCCTATTTTTTTTTATTTTATTTTTCTTAAAAAAAATGATGAGTCGCCGACATCCAGCGTTGTGATTGGTTGATGCTAAGAAAGAGCACGAAATTTTGAATTTTCCTATACTTTGAATATTTTTACTATATATCTAACAGTGTGAGATTTATATTTCAGCAGTAAATTCAGTGAATTTATGAATAATTAACATGAATAATAATCTGCAAGAATGAAAATATGCCATTAATAAATCGTTTTTAGGTTATAAGACGTTATATTTTGAAATTATCAGTACAAATCGTTATTTAATAACCATCTGTGATACTTAAATTAAAATAGACGATAATACATTTTAATCTTTCGTATATTGTAAATTAAGAAGTATGCTATTAATGGAAACTAATTATCGGTATATTAAACCCGTTAAATTTGAAGAATATTCACGGGTGTATTTATATAGGTAACAAAAAGCACATGATATTAAATGTATTACTCATACTAATACAAGATATATTATTACTATAAATATTACTATTAAGCTATAATTATTACTATTAAGTATGTAAGGTTTAGTGTTGTATAATAGTATAATTTATCGATCGTAAGTTGGATTAATCTTTTGGATAATTTTTCCGATATATCGTGATATGAGTAAAAGTCCATCGGTTTTTATGAAAAAATGGGTGCAAGCTCTATTTTTATTCATCACTGCACATGGATGTATGTAATTTATTTTAAACAACATGATTTCTTTGTGCCCATTAGAATCTCCAAGTTGGCACGTCATGGCTTCAAATAATGTAATGAATAATAGAAAAATTTAAAATAAAGAGCGCACAAGGCGCGGTTAATAACACTAGTTTATTATAATTTTAATTGTAGATTGAATTAGGATTAGTGATTTCAGCGTTGAAAAAATATATCGAATGAAATCTCTGTAACATTTCACATTTTTTTTATAAAAATAAGTTTCAACAATAACTACGGCATCATATAGATAAAGAAATATAAAATGAAAATATGTATGTCATATATGTTTCCAGCGAAAGACTAATTATTAAACTATGTATACTATTCATTAAGAAGCTTTTAGCGCCCTTATTAGAAATGGCACTATATCATTTTTTAATGTCATAATCTATTTTACTATAAATTTTGATGTTTTCATATCGTTTTGTAGATTTACAATTGATTGCATATCATCCATTGCATATGGATTCAACTGCGATAGTCTTCACAACACAGACACCCCATTTCTTAAATACGGAAAAATGAGTAATTATGTTGGACGGGTTTTTATTCTGTTCAGTTTCTTCATACCACAACTAATAAAATTCGTGCCAGTTCCGGAAAAGAGACGAGAACTTGAAAAATTTTTCACACAGATCTTCATAGACATGGTTGAGCATCGTCGAAAAGAAAAAGTTTCACGAAATGATTTTCTAAATATGCTTATAGAGCTGATAGATTATGGAAAAATTCTAGAGGATGAGACCTCGGAAAAAAAATGTCATCTTTCTAAATGTAAAATTGTTACCGGTAGTTAAAAACTTTTGGAAATTATTGGTACAATAAATTTGATTTAATTTCAGTAACCGAAGCTGACAAACTAACAATAATGGAAGCTGTTAGTCAAGCTTTCATATTTTTTTCGGCTGGACAAGAAACTACGTCATCAGCTATATCATGTTGCCTTTATGAATTAGCTTTAAATCCAGATATTCAGCAAGAACTTTTTAATGAAATAAATAAAGTACACAACAATCCTGGTGATCTAACATACGAAAAACTTTTTGGAATGCAATATCTCGACATGGTGTTTCAAGGTAGTAGTTACATGTATCAATTTTGATTTTGACATTTGCTCATAGAAACATATGAATTAAAATATTATAGAGACACTCAGAAAATATCCAGGGTCTTCCATCCTAAATCGCATTGCCGTTGAAGATTTTAAAATTCCAAACTCAGATTTCATTATAGAAAAAGGTATGAGAATTGTTATTCCAATAACTGGTTTACATATGGATCCTGACATCTACTCAGAGCCTGAAAAATTCAATCCAATAAGATTCACGCCCGAAAATAAAGCTAAGCGACATAATTTTAGTTACGTGCCGTTTGGTGAAGGACCAAGACAATGCATAGGTACATTGATTTAAATATTTCTATCCACATCTAAAACATGTTAAACAGTATAATAATGTTTAGGCAAACGTCTTGGTTCCCTGAAACCGAAAATTGCTTTGTTCTACATGTTATTAAATTACGAATTCTCAGTGTGTGAAAAAACATCTATCCCGATAAAGTACCAACCTGATTATTTCGTCCAGGTGCCTTATGATATATATTTGAAAGTAAGACGGAGAAAACGAACAAATGAAATTTGATGACTCGTGATTCAAACGATTCTAGTTAATGGCTTGTGATATATGCTTCATTCAAATGATAAAAATATGTGGCCAACTGAAGCTTTTTCAGAGTTAAAGGACAGGAACACACAAAATTATTTTACTGTACAATATTTACATTTTTCTACATGTTGTCTTCTCTTCCAACAGTAAGAATTAAAGATTATGCACAAGTAAACCAATTCGGCTTTTATTATTTTTTGTACCGAAACGTAGTGTTGTCAAATTTTGGAAATAAGTTTTTATAAATTGTCATGAATAAAAGAACATTTCAATGTAATAATCGTATTTGAACAATGTAATATTTTTCGCATTGCAGTAAAAAATATTCTAGAGCACTATAAGTATGATTAAAACATTTTGATACCACGATTGCGGATTATTGTACAACAGCATGCTTACTTTTCGAGAGCGTGTTACGCACTTAAAATTTTATACTCTTATTCAGACAAGATTAATTTTACAAACAAATACAAAAAACGCATTCCAGATATGTCTATCATCGATAGAATTAACATCTAATATAGTGCAGACTATAACGTTGATTATGTGTTTTTTATGAGGTTGCGATCATGTAGAATTTTTGTTTTTGAATAAAGGATAAAATAGAATACTCTTAAAAACTTTTATTTGTATAATTTTATAAATTTTACTCATCTAAAATCCAATTTTAATTTAGGGAATTAGTTTCATGAAAATTTTTAAAAGAATATAACTTTTGCTTTGAATTTTATTTCTTGTTACAATAGTTACATTTAAATTTTATTTATATCTAAAATATGTAATATATAATCTCTGGAATTGCAAAGATATGCCGCATGAGGAACCTATTTCTTTTCGGAAATTTCCTATTGCATTTCCACTCGTATAAAACTACACGTGATAAGTTTGTCTGATAAAGATTCCGTTTAATAAAATTATTTAAAGCTACAACTGTTTGTATAAAATACACAGAATCAGCACAATAAAAAAATATCTACAAAATTCAAAATATTCGTTCCTACGTAATATTTTGTTGGCTCAGAAGGTCTATAGGACACGTGTTTTATAGTTTTCGCATATTATACGATCAAAAATTTTCGGCTCATTAAGATATCCACAAGGTTAATATATTGCTTATTATGTATTCTTATAAAAATGCGTTGTTCTATTGATTACTGAGGAATTTTGATATTTGATACGCCCTGAACAATGAAGTATTTAAATTTTGTTCAAATCCCTTGCAATGTACATTTGGAAACAATGTAAATTTAGGAAGATGATGAGGAGATGTTTATTATATTATCTAATTTTGATAGATTGCATCTGCTTATTAAACATGTAGATGGCATGTAGGTGAAAAAATCCAGTTAAATAAAATCGTCTTTTCGATATTTAATAACTGTATTCATGTAAATGATCTGTAGATTTAAAGCTCAGTTCGGAGGAATCCGATTTGGTTGATAGAATTTCACTATTTTTTCAAGGAAGAGTATTCTAAAAATGCAATAGCTCTGCTGGTATAAAATCTTGTTCTGATATCTCAATGCAACTGATTTGCAAAATGTATAAACTTCATATTTCAGTCGGAAAACTCATCATCAGCTGAATTGAAAATAGCCAGCTGCGAGGCTCTTAGCCGTTTCCCAATTAACGAGAACGCGCGATGCGTATTTATCCACGTGAAGATTACGGCAACGTTGTACCACCTGATTACCAGCTCAGAAGCACTTCCGGTGAAGAGTGCAGCAACTCGACTGCTTCTACTCATTTGCTCGGATACCGTTCTTGCTAGATTGTGCATTCAGCAGGGGCATCTCTTTTAGTAAGAATCATTCTTCTAAATATTTCTTAGGGCAGGTAGACTATGAATAATTTTTACGTTTAGCTCTTTGAATTATATAATCTTTTATGATAGAAGGATGTATTGTATTTTTTAATGAAAATCTACCTATTGTGATTATGCTTAAGAATACACAAATTATTGTATCTCAAGTACGTATCTTTGGAAACTATATCACAAAAACTCAATTATATTTCGATGGTTTATTTCTCGTTCTAAATGAACCTAATTGACCATGTTTTATTTCTGTTGAATCGAAAATTACTCCGATAAAATAATAAACAAATTAAATGGCAATACATTGAGTATCATATCTATATCAGCAATCTACTTACAAGCGCATGTCCTTGCCTCTCCCCAAAATATGATTTTCTTGATATTTCGTGCACAGCATGATGAAGGATCGTGGGGTTTCACGAGCGATACCCGAATGGTCTGGTTGCGTAGAAGCACTATTCAACGCGGATTTGTCGATGAAATTCGCATACACGAGTCGACTGTCACTGTGCGACGTCACTCAAAATGGATTTTACGTGATGCGCCGTACTTCCTGTCCGTGAGTCTAGTCTATATCTATCTGAATTTTTCATAAGACTCTTAGATAAGACATCGTAAAAATTTATTTTTTTTATTTCGTAGTTCTACTGAAATATGCGCGCATTGCGTGAGAATTTTAGATGTACCTGTATTTTCTGGAAATTTGGAAAAGTTGAACGTGTATGTAATTATTATAAGAACCCATAGTAAATTTGACATGGAATTTAAAAAAATACACGTCACTGAAACGCATAAAAAATACATTTATTGACTCATTTAGTACTTCATCATTAAAGTTATTGATATTCTATACATATCTGGAGAGATTTTATTTTTTATGTTCAAATGAATCTACAATAAAATACGAAGCATTTATAAAATCTAATAACCATTACGTTTGAAAAATCAAGACAAGTTGAATAATCCGAAAAATAGAGAATTAAAAAAATAGTTTAGGAAATTTCGAATTTAACGTGGAAATCTTTTATTTCCGATACAAAAAAAGAGAAAAGAATGTCTTTCACGTGGTAATCGCTCGCAGAACCACCGAAAAAAAGTAAAGGATAAACAGAGCTCGAAACGTGATTGCAGTTTTCCAGTGCTAGAGGAGTTGTTCCGTTTGAAGCTGTGCTTTCTCGAACCCATTTACGTGGCTAATTTCAACGAGGGTCATGATGAAAACGACGATGACGACTATCTTGTTGGCAAACAAGCTGCCTTCGAAGGTGAGTTTGCTCTCTAATGTCGCCATCATCGTCGGCGACGGCTATTTACACTGTGAGACTATATATTGCCGAGCTTGTGACCGTTTCGGAGAAAATTCGTGCGGTTCTCGTAGTAAATGATTGCTACGAGTAATTCAAGTTGAGTTTGATACAACTTCAACTTTTAAATTGCTATTTCTTTGATACTTTTATTTTTTAATATTCACGAGTGAACGATCCAATAATTAAATTATGATGTTGCCGTAATACTCGAAAAAGGAAATTGGATGGATTGGCGTTCGAAAGCGTGCATTCATCGCAATTAAATATAAAGCACTCTCACAATATTGACATTTAGCCGCAAGAGAAGCGATAAGGCGTGAGAGTGTCGAGCGTGGCATTCGTGTATCTGAGGGTACGATCAACGCTTGGCTCGAACTTAAATTTGGCCGATTGCAACCCGATCCTTTTTTAACACGTTATCTTGAACTGCTCAAGGCTGAACTGGCTATTGATGAGCAAGCTATGAGTGACGTATTGTGAGTAATTATTTTTGTTATGTGAAATCAGTAGTATAGATCACTTTTAAGTAGGGCAAACAAAGATTAGTTTAATATTTTTATTAATAGCTGTATAATTGTAGCATAGCTATAAGTAATAAATACAATATTTATTAAGAAAAGATAAGTTATTCCGCAAACTTGCAATAATTAAATGAAATTTAATTACTTCAGTTAGGGTTTTTTTTATTAACAGACTATGCTTTTCCAACTGATAGAAATATAACTATAAAACCATCTAGTATTCAATGCCGAAACTACAAAACAATTTATACTATATCGTAATGAAAATCTATATTCACTGATCAATATTTTCAGTTGTCCAGCTGGTCTAATCACAACGTCAACAATAGCATCCCGAGCGCGTTTACTAGGACGTTTCGTAGCTCGTCAATTATCGGGTTTCGATCCCGACAGTCCATCCTGCATGAATCAACAGTTGGAGTTACATCTACGTATGATCAAAGCCAAAATCGAGACAAGCGTAATACCACTTGGCTTCTTACGTTTCGGTTCTTACCTCGAGCGAGCATTGCTGTTCAAAGTATTGGCCGACAGAATAGCTTTGCCTGCTTGCCTCGTCAGGGGCAGCTACGGTGCATCTTGGATTGAGATTGCTGTTCCTATGGTGAGATTTGGCTGAGCATGAGCTGAATGTATTTCATCTACGACGGACGTATTGGTTTATTGATTTTTCATCAGTGAGATAGGGAGAGCGAAAAAGAGCGAGAGAGAGAGAGAGAGAGGAGGGGAGATGATTGATATGTATATTGCGGGAGTGCATTTTATATCGGGAGCGTTTCGAGTTAATTGTTTTTCATTTGAAGTAAAAGTTTGAATTGTATTTTGAAAGTTTGGTAAAATATTATTTTATATCGTTAAGAATTTCTTTTAGAGTATATAAATCGTTGATTTTTTCAAATTTAATTGAATTATTAGTCCGGAAATGATCGTTACTATTTTAAAACGTATATACATCTACATGTTATGTTTTATTTCATTACTCTTATATTTTATTCGAGTTATTGAATAATGCAAAGGTCCATATCTGAGATGAATATAAATTGGCTTGTATCCGAATTCATTTGCAGACAAGCGAACCCACAGCGCCGTTGCCGAAAAGTTACCTGCGTGAAAACTTCATAGTAGACCTAATGAACGAACCTGGCGAGCTTATTGCGTTAGGTTCGATTGGTGCTCGACGTTACGTTGACAAGCAGTCTAGTTGCGAACGTATTGGATGCTGCGGCTAAATGATCGTGTTGTGGACTGATATTGCTAGTCGGTGGTTTTGGATCTCGTCGTGACTTTTGGATTGGATGCGAGCAAATTGGTTTTTAAATAAATTTATTGAACATTATTTATACATTTCACTGTGGGTAATTTAGTCAATGCTATTTCGAGTGATTACTTACAGTTTGATAAATATTTATAATTAATTTATTAGATTTGGAGAAAGATACTTAATAATTTGATAAAATTGATGAAAAAAGTGCTTGATATATAGCAAAAAGAAAGCTCAACGTAATTTAATAAATATTAAATCTTGATATGTCATTTATTAGTCTTTTCAATATATAAGCATAAGTAATTACGGTATATAAATTACACATCGTTTAAAAAACGTCATTACGATAAAATCCTTAAATATTAAGTGCAATAGCAACAACATTCCGTATACAACAAATTGAATAGTCCGAAAAAACGATCACATCGTGTATGTAATATAATCCACCACAGACCATAAATAATTAATTTTTGTTTTCAATGGTGTGGCGAGTCGGTGGGGCAGTGATGAATATATAGCGGGCAGCTGTCGTCAAGGCGATTCGATTTTCCGTGTTGCTCGCTGCTGGTGTGGTCGCTTCAGGTTTCATGGGTTCGGATTGGGGTGGTTAACATGTTACTTTTTCGGCTGTTGTTTTAATCTTCTGTAACCGAGAATATTTTGGTTGGTTTATAATGCAAATTGCGATTTGTGCCATGTGATCGTATAGATAAATTCATTGAAGTATTATAATATATTTAAGTAGAATAGAAAAGTGTAGTTTTTAATTTGATTTCTTTGATGACAGCTTATAGTGCCGTGGAAATCCTTCGCGTAATAATGTGCAAGTAATGATTCTGTACGATTAATTTTAAATTGATTATCGAAATGGCAATAACCATTATCCTCGTGAATCAATCTAAAAGTAGTAATATTTATCATTCCAGATATTAATAGAAACAGTCAGAGAGTTTTCCTGAATGAGAAATTATTCAATAGTTATCATTGATTACAAAAAGTTTCAAATTTATCGAGATAATGAAATACCCAATAATAGTTCCAAATCAAATAATTATTACGGTAGAATTTCCTTTGGTTTTATTCTCATAATATTAAAATTTTTCTCAGTAATTTAGAGTGTCTTATAGTTGATTAAACTTTTTCTAGAAGCCCAAAAGTGATACACTTACGTATGAAAATTCACATTTCTTTTTTTCTTCTCGCTATTAGTCATATGTTCAACGCTCATTCTTGTCAATCCTCTTTTCCGTTCTTTTTCCAACAGTTGTTCGTGATGCCTGACATTTTGTTCGTCTTCTGCTTTTCTTAACATTGCTAATGCGTCCTCGAGGTCTTTACTCGTGCAAGGCCTTGTCGTTGTCGAGCTGACAATGAATGACGATGATGGGGTTGTCGTTGATGGTTGTGGTGACGGAGAGTCATCATAGTTCGGATCGTAATCACCATTTGAGGATACTGACTCGTTGTCCTCGTCGTCGGTATCTCCGCCATATAACTGAATTTAATTGGGAACATTAATTTTATTGTGTCATATTGAGAAAGTTATAAAATTCTTTATTTTTTGTGTGACTTTTCTATTTATCTATGTAATCGCACAGAGTTACACCATTCTGTCCTTATTTTCTACAAAAAAATAAATATATGAGTTTAGAAATTTTTTAAATTACTGTAGGACAAAAACGACATCTATTTTCTCCAATACGAAATCGATTTAACCAAACATAATCAAACGCATTTCATCAATATCTCGTCACCATTCAAAACAGAGCGATTCAAATTCAGCATTCAATCTAAATAAATTGAAACGAAGTCGCTAAAATTATTTGCCACAGTTACGACCTGAAAAAAGAAAGTTTAATTCGACGGTTGCGCGCTCACAGATTCCATGTCTATTATCATTTTCGTAATTGATAGACGCGCACAAGGCGAGTTGTTTCAGCTACAGAGCCAACGCCACGCTCAAAGTTTAATTGTGAATCGCGCACGAGCGGCTCGACTAAACCGATTTACATCTGCCACATGCATCTCGTTAGGCGCTCTTCCTACCTGTCTGCTTTAGGTTACAAACCACCCTTATTACTTTGAATTGTATTTATACATCTTTCTTAGAGGCTCAATGATTTGTTTGATTATGATGATATAATTATTTGATTCTGTTATTAGATTCGAATTCATTTGATTCTTTTCTTTTGTAATTGTTTGAATTAAGTGTTAAAAAAATCAAATTTGCACGAATAACATAGTATGACAATAATTTTTTGGGGCGAATAATAGATTATCGGGTTTATTTTCACTTTGTAGTTTAGATTGATTAAGCATTTTCTTGTTTTAGTATTTTGGATTTTTTCTCAAGTATATATCTAAAAAGCCTTTCCTTGTACACATTACTTCTAGCGTTAATCGGTAGTAATGGAAAAATTAAAAATCAATCAAAAACGATTACAAAATTAAACGAAAAAGTGATACAGAAAGTCATTAAGGAATCCACAGTTCCACTTTCAAATGAAGGCAATCCATCATCAAAATAAAAGTAAATCCAATTTCGATGACATTGTCTCTCTATTTTCACTCGCGAGTGCAAGTAAGTTTCTAGTCACACGGATTAGATATAAATATCAACTCGCTTGCACTCGGCTCCTGGCAGTCTCATGCAAATTAGCAGTGGGAATAGTTTCTATTATTTATGTTTCTCGCTTCGAAGTTCTCGGACTATTGACTAATTTGATTTTCTACAGTGGACTAAAAAAGTTTGCGAATTACTTATCTAATATATTAATTGCAAGAGTATTTTAATTATTTGCGGAACTTATAAACTATTTTCGACTTCTATTTACTAACAACAACTTTTACGAAGCACGAAAAAGTTAACGTTGTCTTGATAAAAATATCGTCATTTCGAACCACACACGTTGTTGGGAAAGCCACATTAGCTATAGTTAGCTCTCAATTAAAAAGTTTCACTATCGCAACAGAGAAATGCCCAAACACGTTTCGCAGAGAAACGCTATATCTGCTTTTCCCCTGTATTTGTTCAAATATTCTTATTGCAAACTCAAATAAATGCTTATTTTTAGCAGTTCACATTGTCATAGCCTAATGCATATTCATGATGCAAATGAATCTTTATTCAATGCATCCAAAAAAGACGCTGTAGTCGGTAACATTTTCATTGGCGTTGAATGAAAATATTAATCCTGCCAGATAAATATGGAAGCAGAGCAGAATCATTAAATATTATCGAGTCAATCCAATTATCGATGTCGTTATCTATTTCCAATTGCTAAAATCAAGATAAGAAATAAAATTTTCTACATTATTGAATATTACAATAATCCATCTACAATAAAAATTGGAACCGCGATCAAACTAGGACGTTCACAAAAGATCTATTATTCGTTGCAAGCTTCTCTCTCTCTCTCTCTCACACACACACACACACATACACACACGAACGTGAAAAAATCAGTGTATTTAATCGACAAGTAATGTATACATTTTCTGCTGATAATTTAGTTCCTATAAACTTATCTGTTTTCAGCGAGCTTATAAATAAGAAATTATAAGCTAGCACGCAATTCAATTACATAAAGTATAGCTATTTGACCTACTGTATTCGTTGGGCATGCAAGCGATATTTCTTTCTCACCGAAGAGAGAAGTGAATTAATTTTTGCAACAACACGTCTTAATAGGACTGTTAACAAATCTAATGTACATCTTCAGCGCAGCTCTCGAGCACGAGAGAAAATTTCCACGATAATACGCGAAAACCAAATAAGGATACGAATTTCATTGAGGAAGTTATACAGTTTTCGATGCCGACAGTTCCTGATTCATAATTTCAAAGTAAACTTGTTCAAAGCGAAATATCGCAGATCTACATTAATTGACGTAGCGCTTGCAAGCGATAGAGCTTGCATTAACGTAACGTAATTACTAGCCAAAGTCGAGTGTGATTTCGCTCATAATTAGCGAGAATCTTCCTCTCTTTTGAGCAGGCTATTTCTGTGTTGCTCGCGACGAAACGTACTTTCTTTCTGCCGGATGCGCGGATGTTTTGATTCGATGTTTCTTCGTAAGCGGGTGTACAGTACTGATTTCACGTTGCAATGATATTTTAAAGTGACTGATTGAATTGTTGATATTGGAAAGCAGAATCTGAGCGAGTAAACGACTAAACTATTCATAAGAAATCAAATGACCAATCTAATACGGCAAAATAAACAAAAAATACATTGGAATGCATCTTCATTATTTGATATCCGTTGTAAAAATATGTATTTCGCTGCAATATCAATAACGCAGTGAGCGTTTAAGCTTCGGCAATATTGCCGAAACAATAACGATTATGGTTATTAATAGTTAGGAATTAAGTCGCTTATATGCCTAGCTGGTAATTGCATCTCCGTTTCGTCTCTAAAATCCTCTCCGCGGCAACGATCGTCAAATGCTCTGAGAGCTGCTGCAGTTTACCCTATACTTGACTGTTTATTGGCAACGCTAGCTGATGTCGTTATGATTCTACTCTGCGATTAGACCGTCGGTTGATTTATCGATTAAACTATGCTCTGTAGAACAAAACATTCAATAATTTTCTTCTATGCGTTCGCGATGAATATTTCAACGAGACGATATTTTTTCATCAACTTTTAACTATGAATAAAGCATTCCACGAAAATCTTACTTTTCAATATATATACATACATTTGAAATATATATACATACGTATAACGTTTAAATCTGATGATTGGAAATTTAATAAATTCAATTTGCACCGACAAAATATGCGCAAGAAGAAAGAAAGATCAACTCGAATAAAATTTTATACCAAATTCTTTTTCAGCAACAGACGCACTTCAGAGAATCTTAATTTCTCATTATACCAGCATAATAATAGCTTTCTTGAAAGCTTACGTAAACATAAACTAGACACACTAAAAACAAGAATCACCACAGTACTGAATTCAGTTCAATCTTTATTACACAAAGTTTGAATAAATATAATAGACTTTCTTGCACATAAAAGATAACAAAAGCTTCTAATTGAAATAGCCCTTTCACTCCCCCAAAAAAATATAATAAAACAGCGCATGCATATATAGCAAGCGTTCCTCTAAAAGCTGTGTGCTTACACCTTAAATGTAAATGGAATAAACGAGAGGGAGAAAGCAAGCGAGGCACAATACAGCCGCTCGCTCGCACACATACACATACTCTTTCGGGTAAATTGCATAACGCTTGGCATAATGAAGTACAAACAACATTGCTGGAACTACTTTTTTCTTTACCATGATCTTTTATTTACTCAAAACGTGCCTTTTTTCCATCAATAATGTCACCTTTATTCAACGTTAAATGATTGTTTACATTTACATATTGAACCGTGGTGAAATATCATGTACGAGATATTGATTTGAAATTGTAATATGGAAGCTCGATTTGATGAACTACTTATTATACTAAATACGATTGAATAATTATAACATTCAACGCGAACGTCGATTAGAAAGCGATTTGAATGATTTTAATTGATAATTTTTATATTCAATTAACATAAATTGAATTGTACACTAAAATTAAGACATAAATTAATTTTATTTTCATAAAAAATCATTATAATACTCACCTGCTCCTCAAAAGCTCTTAATTCATCCAACAAGTCTTTTTCTAAAAACCGATGTTTCAAACTTTCCATGTCCCGACTAATTTCTTCGATGTCTCGAGCATTAGCTACAACTTTCCTCAGTTTCCATAGCTCCAACACAGTACAACACAGTGCTAAAAATAGAGCAGCACAACTGAGTAACGTTTGTTTCTTGCAAAGGCAACAACATCGTAGACGAGATGAACGATTGAAACCCTGTTCCAACTCTGAACAACTTGACATGCTTAGATTTTCACGCGAGAAGGTAAGAAAAGTCCGCGACTCATCCGAACACTGTTTATTCAGTACCTGTGTAAGAGAAATTACAGCTTCAAACTTAAGTAGAACGAAGCGGGTTTGGTCAGGCATATGAAAAATATGTTTAATTTTATTTCTAAGAGAGCTTTTTAATATTAAATCTATGATATGGATTTATTTAAAAGTAAATTGTTTTGTCCTGTATATAACATTTTTTTATGTTTTTCTGACATTTATAACAAAAGAAATAAGGGTTTTTAGTGTAATTTAATTTCATGTGCCGCGATGGAGAAGCGTTAATTAAATTTTCGAATTTTGTACGTAGATATAAGGAAAATAATGAAACAAAACGAAGATTGAAATTGAAAAATTATGATGAATTTATCATTTTTTCCAATGATATAATAAACTTCGATCAAAAAAAGTATTAGCATATAATGCTTTTATTTAAAGATTTTGCTTTCTTAAAATAATGGTAATTTTCAAACTTGAATTAAATTTTTTATAATGAAAATATATGACTTAAATATTGGAATCTCGTGATAAAATTTGTATCGAATTTTATCAACTCACAGTGTGCGATTTCCTCTTCAGTCTTGTCACGTTGTTCTCGTCGTCTGGAAGTACCGAAGTCATTCTTGCATCAGAGATTTTTCACTCCCTTTGTCTTTTACTCTCTCTCTCTCTCTCTCTTTTCTATATACTTAGTTCTTCCTTTTCACTCCTGCCAAATCGATTTTTCTACAACTCAATTACAAAGACAATCTTTATCGCTAAACTCTTTTTCGTCAATCCTCCGTACTTCCTGTAACAATTATTATTAATTTTATAAAAGAAAATTAACCCGCGAATCCAATTATTAGGTATCGTATTTACAATTTAATGATGTTTTTATATTGCGAAATTCACAGTTTTTTCAGAACGCTTTTTTCGCTCTCGGATGCGACCATCGATTACCTGCTCTCGTCGCTGCGAGCGTTTTATCTCCTTCGCGCGCGTTTGACGCTTCGCGTTCTTGCGCTTAATTACGTATGTACATGTATTTGAGAAAGTAAACGTAAAAAAATAGCGCGTAAATGCGATATCATTCAGGATTTTTTTTGTTACGCGTAGGTGAGAGTAATTGACTTATTTTTATGTTTGGTTCATAGATTTTAACGATATTGAAAAACAATTTAAAATATTCCTAATTCTTTGGCTTTAAAAATATACAAGCCGGAGTATTAATATGATTGCTGGTTTGTAACAATAGGAATTCTTAGACAAATGAAGAGTTCCTGCTGCTTTCAATTGCGTCAGTTATTCATGCCTTTAATCAAAATTAGTATTTATCTTTTTAAAAGTAAATACGTTATTGAAAATGAGTCACAAAAAAGTAAAAAGATAATTTTAATTACGTATTGTATTAACGCACACTCTCATTATGAATCATCGTAAACACTCTCATATAAATTCACAAAGTGCCATTCCAATAAATCACAAAATTCAAAAAGATAGCAGTATGCTCGTGATTGTAAAATTGTCTCTTATTCAACGTCAATAAATTGGTCAATTACGTATATCGCGATTCGAATTCCGTACTTTGAACAATCAAAAAAAGTCAAATGCCTTGCTATGTATCTCCACCGAAATTCCTTTTATCCTCTCGCGTCTCACGCACGCATAACTGGTCGCGCGTATATGTACGTGTTCCCACTCCGCACTCACGTGTATACTTCCTTTTCATTCCTTTCTTTATCCCTCGTGCACGAATTCCCTTATTCGCGTCGTCTCCCTACTACCTGCGCTGAGTGCGAAATTTTTACGGTGGAGTCTTCTTTCAGCATCAATTTGACTTTTATCAGGGAAAGACTAATTGAGTCTTGTAATTGAGTTTGGTTACTTGAGAATCTTTCGCGTCTTTGAATTTTTGCCTTCATGATTTTTCTTTTAAGTTTAATGGTATTCGTTGAAAATTATGAAAACTTATTGTTTTATTTAATAATTGAGTGTACATGAACGAGTAGGACTCCATTATCACATCCATGATCGTAGATCAATTTTGTGTGCTCACGTTCAGTAAAGTATTATTCATTATTTTACTGGATAATTAGCTTGCAATCATTCAATAGAAATCGCAGTAACACGATTAACATTCGCTACGAATACCCTATAATTACTTAATGAACCAAAAATCAACGTGTTACTGATGAAATAAAACTTCATTTCAATTTGATCTAGTAAACTTGACGTCAGATACAAATATAAATTGAAATATTAATTCGTGCAACTGAAAAAATGTCGTCGCTATTCTTCCCTAAGGAACTGAAACCTGTCGCATCGTCCTCACTGGTAGTAAATTTACCCTACTACTGGTTTAGCGGCTTTTATTTGCACTAACCCCGCGTACGGCCACAAAATTATCGCGAAACTTTGGGGAAACTCGTAAGCGCGCGACCGCAACGTTTACAGCACTTGGAAGCGCGTAAATTCTTATATACCTGAAGATTGTTGCACGAGCGCTAAAGGATCTTTAACGACTTTATGCGAAATTACTATTTTTAAGGTAGGGTTATTTGCTCGTCACGCGTGTTTGCTAAATCGCAAAGCGTACATTTGACTTTGATCGGTGCATTAACGTGCTTGTTTACGATGCCCATTTTGATATTTGTGTAAACAACGATTTCGTCGTTAAATATAAGCAAAGACTTGTGCCGAACGGTTGTTCGGAGACATAAGCGATTAAGATTTTTTTCAAATTGAAATCATTCGTTTCAAATGGTTAGCAATATTAATCTGTTACAGATTATTTTCATTTGGTACAAGTATCACGAGGTAATAATATTATTTCAACTTTTGATTACCAGTCACAGTGGTTTATCGTTCAAACAATGGCATGTGGTTTTCAAATGACAACAGCTTCTCTAGGCTAAAAGGATTGAAATATTAAATAAACGAATTAATAATCACAAACAAACAGAACTCCAGCACTTCCTCGCTTTAAAATCAAATAGACTAACCGACTGTCGCAAGAGTCTCGAGCTGACTGTGAACGCGCGATGGGCGCAAAGAGAGCTTTGACGTTGATCGTGCAGGTGTGCATTTATGTGCGCGCGCACGCGACTCAGAGGGAGAGAGAGAGAGAGAGAAAGAGAGAGAGAGAGAGAGAAAGAGAGAGATCTTTGTAATCGGCTTGTTGCTTCGAATTAGTTTTGTTTCTTTTTTCGCGATATGATGAGATGAGACTTCCATGTTTGTTTCTTATTTCGATAGAAGATTCCTTCTTGGAACAAATAAGAGATTACAAATGTATTTTTTTTCTTTAATCTTCTAGAATTTTATAGTCTTCTTATTAATCATCATCTGAATTTTTCGTATTATCTAAAGTATCTAAAAACTGTACCACTCTTGTATAAGCAAAATATTATAGAAAAAATTTTTTTTTAAACTAATGAGTTGCAAAATGATTTGAAAATGACCCTATTGCTTAATTCGATATCAAAAAGTTTTCGGCGAGGAAAACTTCTTTAATTTGGCTGCATAATTAAAATAAAAACTTGTTTTAAAAATAAATGCTTCAACGATAGCATGGATTTTTTCATACACTTACATACCACGCAATTATTATATCAAAAGAAAAAAAAGCTTCTGGCAAGGCATGCATCAAAACTCACAACGTGAGGGACAGCGTTTGCACGAGGTGGTCAGTGGCCTTCCCCCACCTTGCTCGAGAGTATCTCGTTCTCTTGATTAGATTTCTAATTGCGGGTGATCGTGTGCACGCGAGAGTAAGAGAGGAAAAACAACAACAAGCTATATAGAGCGATAAGCTTTATGAGCTTTACGCGCCTTGCTTTTGCTGCAGGGTTCAACGTCATTTGCAAGCTTGCGACGTTTTGTGTATTTTCTCCTCGTGACTTTAGGTTTAGGCTTGTATGATTGTATTGTTGCGTTGTATCAGAGTAAACAAAATATTATTGATATTATGTATTGTGAAATTTCATTGACTTTTAGTTAATAAAAAGATGAGTATCTTTTTTTAGTTTTATTTTTTAGTTGCTGATTTTTCGACGGTTTCACTACATTTTACAGTAGATTTATCTCGGCTTGATTTTGTTTTGGTAAAAACAATGCCTGAAATTTAAAAATATTTTAAGGATTCTAATGCAAAGTGTTAATAAATAATTTAGATGCATTTTAATAAAAATGTAACATGCTAATAGCAAAAACGTTTTCGATTTTACTCATTCATCTTTTTTTAAAATATTAAAAAATCAGAATCGTCGTCAACCTCAAATGTGAATAACATTCTCAAGAAACCATTTATCCAAACAACCAATTACTGTACTACTACATCTTGTTTCGGCTTTTTGGCACTTGAGAAATTTTGAGCCATCGCATCGTTATATACATTTCACTGAGCGTTGAAGCTTGCGTTCTCTATAATTACTTGCTTGATGCATATCTTGAAAAAATGTATAAAATTTTTTATTCCGTACCTTTTCATGAAATTCTAGTTTCATTAAAAATACATTGCGTAAATTTAATGTTAGATACGTAACTGCTAGTAATTTTTGAATATTTGAACTGGATAATATTCGCTCCATTGCAACTAGTGATCGCGATGTTCGTCCAAATCCCAATGCATTAGCAATTGTAACAGACGAAGCGTACTTCTCCATCTGTATGACAAAGCCAACTTTGCGACTCCAGATTTATATATTATGCGTTAAAATAAATTCTTTCAATTTTTTTTCATCAATAGAATGAAAGATTTTTATCGCTATTATTGTTGATATATGAAAATGGACACTTTACACTATGATCACGTGAATGAGACTGCTATTATTCTGTGGATGCTTAAAAAAATTAAAAATTTATGATTTTATCGAGATTGAGTATCTTTCGTTGATTTCGCAGTTTTGCGAATTATAAGAAATTCAAGTAATCGATATCGCCTGTCTAAATTAATGATCGAGCTTTCAAGTTTCGAAAATTATATCACTGCCTCAATTTATAAGAACAGAATCTTTTATAAAAAACCGTGTCGGGCAATATTATTTTAGTTGCGATCCATTGCCACGAAGGCTACCACGCGGAAAGATTTAAAAACAAAGAATCAAGCCGTGAATCAAAACCACAACACAATAATTTCATCATGCTCACTCAATGCTCGCGAATCACAGGCTCGTGCGAGCACGATAATGACATAAAATATTATATTTTTACGTGAATATAATTCTCTTTTCTGACAGGAGAAACAAAAAGCGTTTATTCTAACGAGCAACAGGTGCTTTCGTGTTCACCTATAAAAAATTCAGCCGAAGCAGACTGACCATCGAATGGAGGCGCGGATTCTGCAGTTTATTCTGCGAAACGGGATTATGCATGCATATAGAGACTAAGTAATTGGTGTTTGATAGTTATCTACGCAAGGATCGAATTTTGGCAGAATAGTATGCATTATTCATTTTTCATTTCGATAAGCGTCATTCAAGAATATACCGTTGTTGACAATGACGCAGAAAGTAGGATCGCGAGTTTTGTCGAAACTTGGCGCGCAACGAGCTAACGCTGTGCTCAAATTTCTACCTTCGCCGCAACCATTTACACGCATCAGTTCGTTATCAATGCTGGCAAAATTATTACTATTTGTGCGAAATCGATGACGCGCCCGCTTCATGCAAATTCGTACCTTTGAATATTCTATCTGTGATGCTGTTGTTATGTGATTGTCGATTAATACGCGGGTTTCGTGTACTATCCAAATATATGATTTGAATTGATCTGTTAAGTATGATAAACGTATTTCATTTAATTTTCAAAAGTAGAACTTTGTGCATATATATAGTGACAGAAATGGGTTATTCATGATGAAAATACTGTGATGATACATCGAACAATTCTGCTTGAATTATGATCTAAGTCAGAATATTAGAAGAGGGATAACTTTTTCAATGTGGAATGGAAATTTAACAAATTTATCAAAGCCTATTTTATTCGTTCATGAACACTTTTAAAAATATATACTGTTCGACAGTCATTTAAAATGCCATTCTCATATGTATATATAATAAAACGTCAAAGTATTTCCACTCTAAAGCTTGACTGTAAAAAGCGGCAAAGTAAAAGGGAAAAGAGGAAAGCGCGTGTACGCAAAGTGCATTGCTGAAGTGATAAAGACGGGCACGTCATTGTTGTGTGAATGAATGATGTGCTCCCTGCCTGCGTGGCACGAGTACTGAATTTCAATTGCAGCAAGCCAACGCAAGCTCTATAGTTTTTTTTAAATTAATGAATCTTCTTTACGACGATGTATTTCTCCCGTGGGATTTGCACTAAGTTGAGTTCGAGACAACATATTTTAACTTTGAGTTGATGTATAACAAAATAATTTTTTTATTTCGATTGTCTAGATCTGAACAGGGTAAATAAATTAAATTTTTATTTTATTTTTTATGGAATAAAATTGTTTTCTGAACGAAATATACAAATAAAATATTTACAAATGATATATAAAAAACCGTTGAATGTATTATACTTTGAAAATTTATTTACAATAGATTCGTCTGTGGGTTTTGTTGGAAGTTCCCTAAATGAGTTACTATATTTCGGCGTGATTAATGCAACATGGTGTAACATATTGAACCATAAAATGTTCGTTTAGCTTACACATAATTAATACAAGCATACTATGCTATTTATAATTTCGTATCCAAAAATCGCATTAAATTTTTTCAGTTAAATTAACAAAACGACTGAATTTACAAAAATATGATCCAATTTTTTATTTTGGATTAACAAATTCGCCTATTTATCAAGAAATTCTAGAAACTTCATAAGCTCCCAAGAATAAACTTTTTAATTAACTTTAACAAACATTGCAAAAAAGGTAGAACTAAATTAACAAGCACCGCGCTATAGTTTGTGAAATTTCTTTATCGCGTTGATCCATTCTAGCACCAGATAATAACTCGAACCAACGAAAAATACAAATCGCTATAGACCTACTGAAGTACTCTTTCGGAAATTCAGTTTCTAGCGATATGAAACATTCAGAATCGCACTGTCAACTTTCACGTAAACTCCATCGGGCTAAAGCCTCTGATCCTATTCATAATTCACGAATGGCAACTCTCTCTCTCCTGATCGCGTGGAAATTTTCCCTCATGTTTAATCGAGAAGCTCACGCGACGAGCCACTTCGTGGAAAAAATAATAAAAAAATCAAATCGGCCTGAATTCCTTGAGAGAAAAAGCGTAGCCCCGGAATGTCGTGGGCGTTGCATTCGGAGAAATCATCATTGCCACTAATGACGTTTAATAATGAGAGAAAAAAACATTTGATAGCAAGCAATTACTCAAAACAGAGCCGTAGAGAAACTTTCGTACTAACCGCGGATTTCGGGCGCGTCGGGTTTCGTGGCGGGTTTGCAGAATTTGAAATTCGAAGGCAGTGGCGCGAAAAATTTCCTCGCGTCGGAGTAATAACGTAATCATTATGCTAAATCTTTGTGGCGAGCTACACGCGGTCGAAAGCTTCATACACACAAACCTCACTTTTGACTTGTAAATGTGCGCGCGCGAGCGTAAAACCGCACACTTCATTCGGAAACTCGGCACTGGGAAACTACCAGTTTGGGCGAAAATAATATATTTATTTGGATGAATATAGTTAACAAACCGATAAAGATTTACTCGAGTTTCTTCATATTTTGTTCGTCGGAGATGAGCTAAAGATAATCCCTATAAAAAAATGTAAATTCCTGTGTATAAATTGGCTAAAATTTGTACATAATAAATAAAATAATCAATTTATCAAATATTATGTTCAGTCTATGCATAAATTATTTTGATAAGTCTCTATAAAATAAAAAAAAACGATCAAGTACTTTACAGCATTTTTTCACAAGTGAGAGTAAATTTCATAAATCGTTGCACAAATTAAGCAATAAATAGGCTACATATATATTCTCGAGACAGAAGATTTTATAAAAAAACTTATCTAAAACACTTCATAAAATTATTTTACAACACATCGATCCATCAAGTCAAGTTTTCGCCATCGCAAATCTGCGGTTGAAATTCTCGCATTGACCTGCAGCATCACTGCGGAGGAGAATATTTCGCATAACATGGCCTTTACATGTTAATCCGTGGGTGGTGTTTCCAAAGTTCTTCGGCTTTTGATTTGTGGGTGGCAATTCACCGCCAACCGTGGTTTTAGACTGTAAATTCGAATCAAGAACCCACTCTGCGATTACGGGCTGCGGGAGAGAGTTCAGCCACTGCACCTCTAGTGCACAGTGTAATGCGGCTTATACATTCCGTTAGAAAGAGAAAGAGAGAGAGAGAGAGAGAGAGAGAGAGAGAGAGAGAGAGAGAGTGAGAAGGGGTTTCGCTCGTTTACGATGTATTGTGTAGGGGTTGTACAACCTCCAGTTTCGGAAGTTATGAAATGTCGTACGAACAGTTATAGTTTAATTGTAGATTTATTCAACTACTTTCTTTGTATGATATCGATTTTTCCATCGAGAATAGCTGAGACCTTTAATTTTTTTAAACAATCTCACAACATATTTGACTTTGTATTACCAATTAAAATTTATATTTAGTATTTTAGTTTCATCCAAGTTATTTATTAGCTAATGAAAACATTTTACTATCTAATAATCTAGCCACAGTGGGAGTCTGATTGAACGTAAATTGCGAAAAAGTACAAAACAACCGAGAGACGAACAGCGCTAAATTAGCTTGAAAAATTGCTCGTCAATCAGCAAGTCTGCAGTTCTAAATCCGCATCTCTAAAATCCCTGAAGAATTTCTATTCTTCAACGAGATACTAGTTGAGTATGCACTCTCGCACGTGATATAACAGAGTATATTGCATTTTACTCGAGCAGAAATTACGAAGCTTTCCTTTTTGATGAAAGAACGCAAAGAAGCTTAAAAGTTAATCTGCTCGCAATAATGGCGTGAAATGAATCCTTATATGGTAGATTTTTCTTGTTAGATTGTTTATTGAACGATAAAAAAATTCGAACGAATAATTAGATTTTTACATTATTCTTTAATATCTGAATCTGCAGCATCAAAAATAATGACTTCGCGTCTCTTGTAATGAAGATACAATACTACATTATAATAAGAGAAATGAAGAATCTTACGAGCAATCAACTTCTTGTTATAACTTAGCGATATTAGTTTTTTCGGCGTCTAAATAAATAAGAAAATGCAGAACGACGCACGGAATTAAAGTTTCAAACAGTGTATAACAAGAACTTATTAATATTTATCGCGAAACGCGAGCTTTTTCCCTCTATCTTATCTCGAGGGAAATATTCGTGTTCGGTGAGCGTAACTACGTTTCTTTAAAAAAAGAGAATGAAAATACACACACCTTTTAGTCTTCTCACCACACGACTCAATTCAATTCGTTTATCATGCAGTGAATACTTTGATTAGAAGGTATACATTTTTATATAAAGTATATGAGTATTTGTAAGATTAAAACAATTTAACATGGCAATGACTCTTTTTAAAAATTTCTTTTCTAAATGAAATAAATAGAAAATGTTCATTTTGTTCAACATGCAAATAAAAATTACTTTTCTCCTTTGATCCATTAATAATTTCTTTGAAAATCAAGATTATCATACTATTTTACTATATGTGTCTAAAGTAAAGCAATAAAAGACTTACAACTACTGAAAAAGAGATAAAACAAGATTAAGACTTTTATAAATATCATAAAAAAATTCTAATCAAACACGTAATCGTAATATGTGATATTTTCTTACAACCATTTCTTTATATATTGCAACAATTTTGCGGTGGTTATTAATAAATTATCAAATTGTTAGAAAAAATCGTTTTATTTTGTAACAAAAATAAACATTTAAAAAACAAAAGAATTATACAAAAACGATACTTTTTATCACAGATAACATCAGTCTTATAAATACACGAGAGATCAGTCTTCACAGTCAATTAAATTCACTCACAAGGCTGTTGAGTGAAGGTTTGATTGGGCCAGACCATTTGATTAGTTTACCCAGCAGCCAGTTGTTGGGTTGTTAATGGTAACCTAGGAAAGAAAAGCAAAATCTACATTAATATTCGAATAAAATTTAATAATAAAATGAGTTAAAGATTCTCTATGTTACATATAAAAATGAATGTATCCATTATATAGGGATTTACAAAAATAAAAACTTCAAGCTCAGACTACGAATATAATTACGTAAATTTTTCATTATTTTTTCCAAATATTTCTTATTTTTATTAATTTTTTAATATTCAATAGTCTGATTAGCTTTGTTTCTGGAATTATAGTACTAGAAAATTCAATTACATTTCAAACCACTCCTACGCTTTATCAGTTTTTCTTTTTCAAATTTTGTAAAAACATGTAAAGTCATTTTTTAGCAAGCCTATTGTTTTAAAATTTGACCTATTTCACTTAGTAACGCACGCTAATGGATGATTGACGTTTTCCAACTTTACTTCTACAAAATCATGTGATGCATATATTTTTATTTTTTCATTTCTGCTTTGTAAAGTAACAAAGTGTTTTGTGATTACTTCATCCTTATTTTACAAAGCAACTCTTTTTGTTGTTTATTTTCATATAGAAGGTACTGAATTTTTTCATTTTACTCACCTGCAACTGACTTAGCGCTTGAGATGAATTTATACATCGGGCATTGAAATAGAAATTCTCAACATGATTTTTCAATGAATGCCTGATAGTTTTGATTTTGTGCTTTATCAAAACATTCCGTTTCATTTTTTGAAATATTCTGTATTCCTTGACTTATTACTTTATATTATACATTGAACGTTCTATTAAATGGATTTTTTTCTCAATATGTTTTAAAATAATTGATTGCAACTGTTTCATTATATGATAATGTATGTTTGCCAATCAATGATAAATGCATCTTTTGTAACATTTTAAGAAATTTTTTTTTTCATCCCCATCATTTCATAGCAAATTTTTTTAAGGATGCCTATAATCCATAACACTTGAATATTTCGTATATTTTTTTGTATCTGCTAAGCTTATTTTCAGCTGTTCTATTCTTTAGATGTGCCACTTATTTGTGTACTTTACATTATAATGTAATGTGATCTGCTTGCTGGTAAATTTCATTGTATTTCATTCCTGTACATATTTTTGCTTGATGCCTGTGAAATAAACTGAATTCATTTGAAATTGATGTAGTCAAAATTTTCTGTAAATAATTTCTGATTTACTTTTACATATAACAATTATTAAATTTCAAAAATAAGTAAAACTTTGCAACTGAAACTTTAAAGAATGAGAGTAGAAATAAATCACAATATACAAGACAGTTTTTGAGAAAGTCTGAATTAAGAAGTGTTCATACCTCCATCCACACCATTCACTTGAAGGCATCTGAGATGTTTTTATTTTAACTAATTTACTTAAAATTGTGTACGCTCTTTTTTAAATAGTTGCATTGAACAAATATTTCAGTGTTTTGTGTTTATATGTGAATGAACAAACAAAAATAGAATGAACTTTAGAAAATATAGCAAATGATGTAGGTAATGAATCCAGAAATAAAATGTGCTTTTCATACCAAAGTATAACATACGAGATACCTTTCAATACTTACAAATAATTGTCAAGGTAGAAATCTTTAGTAATAAAATATAACTATATCTTTATGGTGACCACTCAATTTTGGATCAACATTTTATTTACCATCCTTCAGAGTTATTTTCTTTATTATGTTGTTCATCATATTTTTTATTTCGATATTTTTATAATAATTGTTTTGTTAATTTAATTTTTTGCAATGAAATTTTAATCTAATATATTGCAATCTATGTTTTTATATAAATATCGTAATGTTAGCCTACCTATTTTAATAAAACGTTTGACAAAATAGAAAATTATAGAAATTGTATTTTTGTTTCCAAGTGAAGTGGCCACCATGAATGTATCAATCAACTACCATAAAGAATTTTATTATTTACCTGTGCCTTTGTTATAGTTTGCTTAGAATTTAAAAAGTCATAGAAAAATGATTGTCATATCATAAGTTGTACATTTTTTGTATGAAGATCAATCATAAGTCAAGGAAGGTAATAAATCGCAACTAGTCTTATTATGAATTTTTAATTTTTTTTCTTCTAGGAGCGTTATGATTAAATATTAATTTGCATACATTATTTAGTATTATCAATAATTACGCTATGGTATCTGATAACACATTTATTGATGCGTCTGAGGTATTTTCAAAGGATCACCAATGTAAAAAGAAATAATAAAAAACAAAAAAAAAACAATCACGCATTCGTCCTTTCTTATTCACACAAGAACTTTGTTCTTTTTGTCATACGATAATGTCAATTGATTAAGCACTATTTATTCGGATAAAAAGTCGATCAGGTTGCAGGTTTTTTTTATATTTCGACTCACTAATTGTATACGAGTTTTAATCTAATGTTTCTATAAATCTTTTTGAGAATATAAAATTTAGTGATAATAACGCAAAATTTCTTTGCAATTTCCATTTACTACTTAAAAAACTGTTTTACGATTACAGTCATTTTATTTTCTGTTTCTAAATACTCATGATCACAAATCTCTAATCATACATGTTTTTTTTTGGTTTCTACTCCTTTATAACAATTGTAACTATACAATTTCCTCTACCTTTTAGCCATAAAAATCTATTAAGTAAAAGATAAAAATGTCGTGAATCACAAATTCTTTTCTGTCATATCCATATGTTTGCTTGATCATTATAAATTTTTATTAGCCACTCATGTAATCTATAGCATTTTAAATGTAAGCAAGTGCACATTGACGTGAGTTACAGCTAAATCAAACCTATTTGCAAGACAAAATATTAAGAAAGAAGTTTTTTTATGTTTCTGAAACATTATTTTCTCCTAATATGTATTTACACATGAAAAAGTTTGAAATTATAAATAATCAACTAAGGCGAATAAAAAATAAAAGATTATTTGTATTGGAAGTCTAAAAAAGTTTGAAATAAAAAAATTTTTTCACGTGATAGAAAATATGTATATGTAATCGTAGATCGTATTTTCTTTATTAATAATATTTATTAGTAATAATTAATATTTATTAAAAGATATTAATAAATTATTAAGTGCTTTAAAATAATTATTTTGTAGATATGCCAATTCATGCCTCACAGCATCTCAATAATTTATATTTATGACATTGTCTCATATTTGGTTTCTTTCTATTTTCATCCTAAACCAAATATAAATAATTTGTAATCTTGTGATTTGTAGTCATAAAAATATCTTTGATAAAGCAGACGTAATATTAAAAATTTTTAAAAGATTTTTCTTCGTGAAATAAATGGATGGTTAGTAATTTTTCGTCAATTTTCGCACGCACGCTTGATTTTTAGTTATCTTGTACGTAAATTTTACATACTCAGCTTTTTATTATTTTATTATAGTAATAAGTCATGTTGGTTATAAAAATTTACTGAAAGTAAACAATCAAAGTTTCACTACATCTATTTTTCACATAGCATTTGTTTTGTTATAATACTATTTCATAAAAATTATTATTTTACATCGTGCCAGTTTATACTTTCTTTTAGACTCAAGACTTCATATAAAACACTAATAAAACTAATTCTCAGAAATGAACCCAATATTATCTTCTACTTCTTTTTTGAGTCAATAATTATTTAGGAGATCTATTTCACACAAATGTGCCTAACAAGAACTTAATTAAAAACTCTTCAAAGAATTAACACTGTGGCAAGCAATTCCGCGTCATTTCTATTGAACTTCATTACTGTTTTTTTTTTAAGAGCACAACTGAGTGCAACAGTTCCGGGGCAGAATTACACACTACAGTGTAAAGAGAAGGGTTGGAGCGAAGTTATGCGTTTTCTTCATTTCAATATCGGTACTTACCATAGTCTTGGCTTCCGTAAACATCTTCTTGGCCCGCATAATCTAGAATAAAAAACAAATGTTAGATACGATATGTAAATATTTTTAATTCAGTTTATTGTAAAGGTAATAAACTAATTAATGAGACCAGTTAAAAATCTATAACGCTATCAATAATCCAATGAAAAAGAAGATAAAAGAAATAAAATTAAAAAATTAGAAAAGTATAAAATTCTGTCCTGTGTATAATAAAAATTATTGGAAATGTTAAAAAAGAATATTAAAGTGAAAAAAAATCAACAAGATGTAGTGTAGCATTATTCAATGTGAAATTCATGAAATCGAAACATGATATTTCGCACAAAAATAAATATAAATAAAGTTAAAAATTAAACAAAAGACAAACCAGTGTTGCATTAGTTTTTAAAGTACAATACACAAGTGATTATTTGATAAATTTACATTTATTCTCATTGTTTTGAACAATGCAAAAGCGGCAAAAACAAATACCAAAAAGGGAATCAATAAATCAACTAACCATGTAATTGCGGTTTGCTATTAATTGCTTCCATAGTTCATAGGAGTGTAGTTAGCAGATTGGCCTTGATAGTCATAACCTGAAGAATAATTATAGTAACCGCTGTCCACTGCCTCTTGTTGATAAGGTGCTGCATGAACATTTTTTTGTAAATATAAATGTGCATAGAAAGAAAAAATGTTTAATAAACTAATCAACATGGCATACTCATCATATAAAATTTAAAAAATTAACTATAAAACGTTTCATTTTTAAATAACCTTCAATTTCAGAGAGATCATTTTATACCAAACTATGTTATATTAAATTATAGCATAACATTGTAATTTTACAGACTCATAAAACAAAATAAAAACACATTTTATTAAAAAATATGTATATAATTAATTAGACCAAATGAATAACTCAACACTCGCAGTTTTAAATAAAATCAAAATAAATTTGTTAAAAAATATTACCTGCAGCTGGGGCTTTGTATCCATAAGGATCTGCATAGCCAGAATTAGCCACTGGTGGGGCACCATATCGATTGTCTGGTGGTGCTGCTGTTGCGTAGCCCTGGAGTATTATGAAACAATATTAAATAACTTACATTACTCAATAAAACTGTTAGAAATACAGAAAATCTTCAGTTGATAATTCCATTTCAACAAAACAAATATGTACAGTAGAATGTTTCAACTTAGATATGTGTAAATCTTTATCTGCTTTAGGAAAATTTAGGAATAATTAAAACTGAGATTTATATGTTTAAAAATACTATAGTTATATCTAATGTTTAAATCTTAATAAAAATGTCAAGCTCACCGCTGACTGTGCATATTCGGGTGGTTGCTGATAACTTTCATAGCTTTGGTATCCTTGGGGGTAACCCTGTTGAGCATACCCACCACCACCACCATAACCACCAGCTGGTGGTGCTGGTGCTGCATAACCATTGCCTGCTGCACCATAACCTGGAGCTGGTGGTTGGGAGACGTAACCATTAGATGGCGGTGCTGGTGGTGCGTCGAACCTCGGCCTCTTCGGTGGTCCACCAGCACCAGGTGGTCCTGCACCACGTTTCTGTCCAGGACCACCTCGACCAACTCCGGCACCTCGACCGCCACGATCGAAGCCACCACGACCGCCGCCTGGACGCGGAGGTCCACCTCTGCAAGTTCAAGATAATAATTCAATGTATTATAAGGAATAGAACAGATCAATAATTTTTTAAAACACTGCTAGATGATAAGTATGAGAATTATTAAAAATATTACCTTCCTCTACCTCTGTCACCACTAGGGCCACCTCTGCCTCTAAAGCTACTTGCTCCGCCTCGACCAAAGTCACCACGACCTCTACCTCTGAAACCACCACCACCACCGCCGCTGCCGCTGCCGCCACCACCACCGCCGCCTCCACCACCTCCTCCTCCTCCTCCTGCTCCTCCAGCTCCTCCCCTACCTCTTGGTGCACCCATACCAGCTGTGTCGGGTGGTCCTCTGCATTACAAATATTTTATTTAGAATAGAGATTTACTTCTAATTAATTCATTTATTTTTCTTATAAACATTTATTACCCAGCTCCAGGGAAACCTCCTCGGCCCCTAGATGGTGGACCTCCTCTGCCTCGCATACTTGGTGGCCCCCCTCTCATACCTGGTCCACCACGTCCACGCATCATTCCACCGCGTGGTGGTCCACCCCTGTGTAAAAATGTTTATGAATATTTTTGTCTTTGCATTTTCAATAGTATTTATTCTAAAATATATAATTGAAGTGTTTTATGTGACATATAATTGAATTATTGTTGAATTATTATTATTTATTGAAACAATATGTTAGTCTGAATCGGTTGATTTCTTTTTCATTTTATTGCCTCATCTGTTTATTGGCGATTATGTAATAACTAATTTCAGCTCCTACCACATCAAGAAAATTTATTACGCGACGCCAAGTGGACTCCTTTGCAAGCACGTGTCTTTTCCACTAGAAGCATTCATAATAAAAACTGCAAATTAACTATTCCGAAAAAAACAACTATTCCTTTTATTTATAATTATATGAAATAGTATCAACTTTAAATCATGTAATTATATCTAGACATTTCATTCTTTGACTCGGCGACTATCTCCATCTTTCTCGGAAAAAACTATTGATTAACATGGAGCAAAAGAGCCACGCCACACAAACTGTAAGGCTTCTCAACATGCATAATCATTCAATCATATTTAATTGTTGATAGAAATAGGAAAATACCTAACAATGAATAACAATCATACCGTCCACGATCAAAGCCACCGCGTCCACCGCGAGGTGGTCCACCTCCGCGTCCTCGAAAGCCTCCCCGTACCGCAGGTGCCGGTGCGTCTGCCATCCTTTTCAACTTATCCTTCTACAACACATTTGAAATAAAAAGAAAAGTTTTATTAATCACACACGATGTCAATGCGAGATAAAACCTCAATGAACGTTGACAATGCAATAAATTCACGTGTTTACACGACCGAATATATGCAACGTTGTCGATGAAAACTAAGTAGCGTCAGTACCTTTACGGAGAGAAGAAGAAGATGGACGCCGGCTACAGCCCGGAAAGGAAAGCCCATCTACCACACCGCCGCTAAAGAAACTCCCCCACTTATCTATCTCCTCTTTCTTTTATTGTGCGCGCGCATTCCCGCGACTAATAAACCGGATGTTTCGTTCAACGGTTTAGCCAACGTATAAAATGTCTGATATAATACATATATATAGTTTTTATAAATTATTATTACGAGTTGCAGGAATTACATTCGGTAAATAATGAACTTCTAGAGCTTCAAATAATTTTTCTAACAAAATTTACCGCTGAAGTATAACTTTAAATGGTTCTTAAATACAAGAGTTTTCAGAAGAGAAAAAATTAATTATTTTGCACCTCGTGCTTTTTTTTATTGACTACGTTAATCATAAGTGGGCATTTGAATATATGTGTGTATATATATATTTGAATATATATGTGTTTGCAATATATGTGTGTATATAAAAACGAATGCAAACGTAGTTTAAATTCAAATTATTCTATATTACCCGAGGAAAAAACAGATAAAAGTCGCAATTTTAACCTTGTCAAACTTGAAAAAATATAATCGCCAAGATAACCCCAATAAATCCATCCACAGCCCAAATAAAACTCCGTGGTCGAGTTTCGTAAACTGGTGAAAAGGGACCACGTGATCTGTAGCCAATAGACGATTGGTTGTGTGTAGATTTTGAATTTAAAACGTTTTTAGCCAGAAGCAGGCCAGTGTACAGCGATTTTAGCTAGGGTGTCCTCTGTTGCCGTTGTTGCCAGTATACGCCGCGAGACATCCTAGTGTGAGTGAATTTGTTAAAATAACGGCGAAGAATAAATAATTAAACTATTGTTTGTTGAGTAGCCGTAATAATAGTAGTGCCAAGACGACAAAGATGTCGAAGGAGGAGAAGGAAACAATCATCCCTGATCCCATCTACGACAGTAAAACCGGCAAGACTTACATCAAAGGCCGTTTCTTTGGCAAGGTAAGGCTCAAGTTGACTAAGTGTCCTCTTTTTTTCAACTTATTGCGAGTACTTTTGTTTACCTTCTGGTTGTGTAATAGAAGAGACTTTTGACTTGTGGATGCGACTGTGTATGACAGTTTGTTTACTAACGGACTTTTGAGGGGAAACTTCTTGGAGAAGTGCACTTGTTGCTTCCATTGAAAATGATATTTTTGGAACAAAATGTTCTGCTGGATTGATTGTTTACTAATTACTAATTTAGTTAATATTTTTTTGAGTATTTATAGAATTTTTAATTTTTTGAAGTAATATAGAAGTTTTGTAAGAGGCCCAATATCACATTATATTACTTGTGTCTGTTTAATTAGATTATGATGTTCTAATTAAAGAGAATGTTTTACCTTTTCATAGTATAGAAAAATACATTTTCTTATACTATAAGTCTAGGAATTTTATTTAACTATCAACATGAAAATAGGAATATCTGCTTTGCGTATAATTTGAATAAATTATTAACAGAAGCTGAATTACATAAATTGTATTAAATCTATAATAAAAGCTTATTGTTTTAAATTTATGACTAAACAATATTTAATTTATTTCAGGGTGGATTTGCAAAATGTTATGAAATTCGAGATTCTCAAACACATGATGTGTTTGCTGGAAAAATTGTACCAAAATCATTGATGACAAAGAGCACACAAAGAGAGAAAATGACCCAAGAAATTGCAATACATAGGAGCTTGGATCATAAAAATGTTGTTGGTTTTTATGGATTTTTTGATGACAATTATAATGTTTATATTATCCTTGAATTATGTAGGAAAAGGGTGTGTCTTTAGTTTTTCAATTTTTGTGATATAACTTTTTCAAACAATCAATAACTCATTGAAAAATATGTTTTTAGTCTATGATGGAGCTACATAAGAGAAGAAAAGCTTTGACTCAATATGAGACTAGGTACTACATGAAACAAATCTTAAATGGAGTAGAATACTTGCATGATCATAGGATAATCCATAGAGATTTGAAGCTGGGAAATTTGTTTCTCAATGATGATATACAAGTGAAGATTGGAGATTTTGGTTTGGCTACCAAACTTGAACATGAAGGAGAAAGAAAAAAGTAAGTTGTAAAATGATTTTCAAATAGTTCCACAATATCAATAATTTTAATTCATAATTTTAGAACGCTATGTGGCACTCCAAATTATATAGCGCCAGAAATTTTAACAAAAGTTGGTCATTCTTATGAGGTAGATATTTGGAGTATTGGATGTATCATGTACACACTGCTGGTCGGCAAACCACCATTTGAAACATCAAGCTTGAAGGAAACTTATACTAGAATAAAGCTATGTAATTATGAAGTCCCGTCACACATGGTGAACACTCCTGCCATGAACATGATTTCTAACATGTTGCAAGGAAATCCTTCTAAACGGCCTCCTATTAAGAAATTACTCAAGGATCCTTTCTTTACTTCTGGTAAATTATGTCATTTCGTAATTTGCACTGTTTTAATAAAATTTAATAATTTACTGAATGTGCAATTATGTTTTTAGGTTTTATGCCATCAAGCTTACCAGTTTCTTGTCTTACAATGGCTCCACGTCTTGATATGCTAAAGACACACAACCGAAAACCTTTGTCAGAGATGGACCTGAACAATAGTCCGAAAATTGAAGATGTTACTGATAAAAATCAGCTAAGTTTAAGAAAGACAATCAAACAAAATGACCAGAATGTCATACATAAGACTGATCAGTATATCGATAACAGTCTTAGAACTCTTAAGAAGCAATTAGCATCGGTACTCAAGTCTAAACCGGAAAAAGAAATGTCTTGTTCAGGTATGACAATCACTCGTTCTATTACTGAAAAATTTTATTTTCGTGTACATTCTAATTCGTATTCCAGTAATTCAGAGACCCTACCAGCTTTATCTACGAAACTCAGGCACGCCTTTTTCCTTGCTCCTAACTTGTTCCCTTTCTTTAAGTATAAAAGTTTTAAAATCTGCATTAAATAACAAATTTTATATTTTTCCGCAGATGAAATGACCGATCCAGATGCTCAGCCATTTGTCTGGGTGAGCAAGTGGGTGGACTATTCAGACAAGTATGGTTTTGGCTACCAATTGTCGGATGACGGTGTTGGTGTAATGTACAACGATGGCACTCGTCTTATAATGCTTTCCAACACCTTTAATATTCAATACGTCGACCGTAATGGCGAAGAATTTTATTATTCGACCAAGGATTATCCACGACCTCTCGAAAAAAAGATGAAGTTACTTAATTTCTTCTTGCGTTACATGAACGATCATCTGATGAAAGCTGGCGGATCCGTTGCTATCAAGCAGAGCGATTCACTGTCAAGACCACCTTATTTGCATCAGTGGTTCAGGACGCAAACTGCTGTTGTTATGTTGTTGACTAATGGATCGCTGCAGGTTAGGGATAATTGTAATATTTTAAATATATTTGATTTCAGGTTCAGTCAAGTAACAAAAATATATTTAGAATTTTTTAAACAATTTTTATCAAACTTTAAAAATAAATTAACAGAGTCAAGTTTCTATTTTCAAACTGGCGGGTTTAATAATTTTTTGACTGATTCATGGTTGGGTTAACAATTTGATTGTTATTAATGCTGTGAAACTGCTATTCTGAAGTAGATTTCTAATGACTTTTGCAATTACTATAGTCAATAAATCGTTAGTAACAAGTATAAAATCAATTTAACTCTAAGATAATAAACTTCTGTAAAAACCTCATTATTTAATCTTTTTTGATAATAAACATTAATGAAATAATATATCAAACTCATCTTTGAATTGTACTTTTTTTTCTTTTAGATCAATTTTCAAGATCACACGAAAATCATTTTATGCCCATTGATGGCTGCCGTCACCTACATCGATCAAGCAAAGAACTTTAGGACATATAGGTTCAAAACGATCGAGAGTTACGGCTGTTGGCCTGTTCTCGCCAAATACCTTAGCTACGCCCACGACAAAGTTACCCTATTGACATCCAAATCGTTCAATCGTGTGATGCCAGTCACTTCAGAAAAGTAAAAATCATTTAGATCTCTGAAAAAATGCGAATTTCTACATCGACAATGAACATTTGCAAGTCGCAGCGTAAACACTCTTTTTCAAAAAGATATCTAACTGCATAGTTAGACACCTAATGAGCTGTCAAATTTGACCTTTAAATAAGTCTATCGATAGCTTTTTCTAAAGAATTTATTTTTTTCATTTTTATACTTGAGAGACAGCATCAACAAGTTAAGTTTTCGTGAAAACAAAAAATACAGCCTTTACATTTTATTTATTTATAGTTTCGAGCCATTTTAATCTGTATTGTGAAAAGGAGATAATTTACTTGAATTTTATGCTCATTTAAGATTTTAATATAAGCAAGATTCAAACTTTTAATTTTAAACGCTTTTTTTACTTGTACTTATTTTGTTTTTATAACGCCATAACCCTGCCTTTCAAATGTCTTAATTTCTGCACCATTGATTCTCATGTATTTGAAAGAGTTTAATAGAAAATAAAAATCGATAGTGCGATCATTTTGGAGTTGTGCAATCAATGGCCAAATGTAAATGACTATTGAACACTGCCATAGCAGGGAAAGCTAGTAAAACTATTGCTTTCGATTTCTATGTCACGATTGTACAAAAAAAAGGGTTGGCCACAAAATTTCGGTTTCAAATTAACGAGTTTTCATTTTCCGTGGATTGACTGATATCTTGACGAAAAGAATAAAATGTAATAAACAATGCCATCGTTGAAGTATAGCACAATCAGTGATAATACTTATTTACATTGAATGAAGGTGTAAGATTTTTAAATATTATTTATGACTGCATTTTAGCTCGATTCAACTTGAAGCGAGCTTTTTGAGTGAAAAAGAAAAAATTTTAATTTTCAGGGATAATACATAATGTTTTATTTAGGAAAATAATGCTTATAAAGATTATCATTTTATTTTGTACATACATTGCCATATCACTTTTTTTTAAGTACAAGTTAAATTTTTATCAGTCTCAAAAATGTTAAGGTTCAATCATCTGCTAAGTAAAATGCTGAATTATCAGTTAGTAATAAATTCTTTTCTCAACTATTGCAATTATTCATTTGTAAACAAAATTTCTGTCCTAGAATTAATTAAAAAAAAATCTGTGAAAACTTAAATTTTAGTCACTCGATACTTTTATTGTTAAATATGTACTAATTTTTACTTTCGAATCATAATTATTTAAGAACATTTTTCCACTTTTATTAATAAAGTATAATTTTTGTGTGACCAAGTCTGTACAATAAAATTTATTCTATTCCATAATTATGAAATTCCTGTTAGCAATTTTTTCGCAATATTATATGTTTTTCAATTCTTTTAATATTTACAATAATATAAAATAAATTGCATCTGCTACTAAAATTCAATTTACTTTCTAGTTCAGTTGAATTTTAGATGAATAGCTATAATTGAGATATAAGAGATTGAAGAGATTTGAAGCAATATTTAGCGATGTTTTTTAGTTTAAATTTTCAAATTAGTGTTATTTTTTTGCCTTATACATTATCTTACTGAAATAATTTTTAATTTTCCTCAACAAGTTATAAAAATGTTCTGCTTTCCTATTCTCAAAAAAATTTAATTTATTCCAATAACATAATAAATTAACTGCTACTCTAGATATTTTACTAACTATTATTGAAAAACTTGATAAAATAGTTGTTAAATGTCGTAAATCGTTATGTATAAATTGTTAGTTTTCTGATTTTATGAATTTTTAGTACAATTTATTTTGATACATATTTAATTACATAAGATGGGGTTATGCACACATATTCGTACTTAAAATACTATTAAAGACAGCCTTCTAGGAAACAATTTCTTTATGTGACTGATCACGTTTACATCAATTGTTCGTAATGCCTTATTTATATCGAATTTATTTATTTTATTATTTATTTAAATTTTATACTTGCCAATGGCTGTTAAAATTCTTAGAAAATAATTAAACAGTTTGGAATTAAATAATATTTCAATTTATCTTCATTTTTCTTCTACTATTATAATAAACTTTCCAAAAAATAGTGATTTCACAGTATTCGGTCAATTTCTAGAATAATAAAAATTTCAAAGTCATGATATAATTTACCTTATAAAAACTATCAAATTTGTATGAAGTAAGAATACTATCTATTTATTTCATAAATAGTGACAAAAAGGAGAAATTATGAGTCGGAATGTCGTCGAAGTTGTAGCAGAAATACTATAGTGCAACAGAATAAAACTTAATGTGCAACACCTATCAATTTAAGAAAAATATACTAAAAATATATTTAATAGAAGGTGTTGTAGAAGATATAATGTCATAATTAAAAAAATTGCTATATTGACATCGTAGTAATTACATGGATCATCGCATGCTCCATTATGCCAAAGTTATATTTATTTGGTTAAAACAATCCATATACATTTTTCAAATTATTGTCCGTTTTTATATGTAATGTACTGGCCTACATAACAATCATAAAATAAAAATAATTCGAAAATAATTTACGGATAAATGGAAATTCAATTGGAAGTACGTATATCAAGCGTTACACAGCCAACTTTATTTGAAAACACCGATAAATGTTGATAATTACGACAATTTTATACAAAGTAAAGGAAAAACTAACAAAACCTATTTTCCTTGAGCTTGAAAACTTACCGTTTCGAAATAGAAATTATTTTTCTCGATGTAAACAGTGTATGAACTACTCACCACCAAAGTGGTTACCATTTAACCAAGGAACGGTCTGAAAATAGGATTGATGGAGTCAAGTAGAGTTCATAGTGCACCGAATCGACGTGAAAAGGCGAAACCGTTATCAGTGTTGTTTTGTTGGTGAGTCTTTTAGATTTTTCTTTTTGGATAACGTGAAACGTAGAAAAGTTTATCCTAATAACAGTTTTTCCAAATGATTATCACAGAACTTTACTTTAATTGTGGATAGGAATAGAATGTATTCATTATTACTAGGTCTATCTATAGTAGATAGTATATTAGGGGAAAGAGTTCGGTTGTGGACATCTATTTGCTTTTGGCTCATAACTTTTCATAAAGTACATATTTTTTGGACATATAGGTGTCTGTGAAAAGTTAGAGATCTTAGCTAACTACCAACGAAGGGACAAAATCTATTCCATTAAATAGAATAATTTTTAGCCAAAATCTATTTTGGTTCGGTTGTGGACACCCTTGCAAAATCTACTGAAAATAGGAAAATATGAACAAAAATCACCAAGAATATAGAAAAAATGAAAGTTTATTTATTTAAAAATACAACTATTTTAGAATAACATTTTAGGAATTTGTGGACAGCTTATGTACAGAACAACGTTTAATGGCATCAAACAGCACATTAAAATCTATATCGGACGATTTTTCCTATTTATGTTTGGACGGCATGGCTAAAAATATCGAAAAATATATGAAAATACCATTAATATTTTAATGTAAAAGAAATACATGGAAACATAAAAATTATCAACATACGTATATTTTATTAGGTATTGCTTACTGAATAGTTAGGTTCAATCAACGACGATATTCTACCATTTTTCAAAAAAACAAAACGAGTAACCACAATAAAACTAATTTCGGTGCCTACAACCGAATTTGCCAGCCATTTTAAGAAGTACTGAAAAAAATTGTTGGTGTCAACATATTGATTGCAATCGATATTGCATCACAAAGTAGGAATAAATTTCTACTAAATAAATATGCATTACACTCACCTTCATTGATTCACTTCGATTTATAATACTGTTGAAAAAGTTTAAATAAATTTTTGTAATTTTTTTTCAAGCACAGAAAAATTAATATGCTCACAGTACAAATGTATTCTTCGTTATCTACGTGGTAAAACGCGTATATTGGCAACTCACCAGTTGCAGTTCGTCAAAGATGTTGATGGTATTCTTCTTCTCGATCAAGGATGCATGCAGTTCTTTGATAACTTGCATAGACTTTTAGATAAATATCCAGAATACAATTGCTTGATCGCTGCTGATAAGGAGGGTATAGAAGATACCACGAACGTCAGGAATACTATGCTTAGGCATCGATTTTTATCTAAAAATAACGGAGTGCATTTTTGTTGTCTTCTAATTCCAAGACATTGAATAGATATTTTTATTTTATAATTTTCAAATTTTTCCTCTATCCGAGAGTTATGAGGTCCCAGAAGCTAATGATATCAATGAAAATGAGAAAAATTTGAAAGATATTATTGATTCGTCAGCCAAAGAAATTACTAAGGGCAGCATGCTTATCAAATACTTCCAGTATGGCTCAAATTTATATATGGTTAATGTCATGTGTTTGTTGTTCATCGCTACGCAGCTGCTCATGAGCTTAAACGATTATGAAGTCAATTTGATGTTAGTCAACGAATCTCTCAGTATTAAAAAAAAATCTAATTAACATTAAAAACGTAATTATTGTAGAGTAAACGCCAAAGAGCCGTACAAATTCTGCGCTTCTCTGAAAACAGCAGTACTACGAACACAACAGCAGTAGTAGCCGAAGATTGCCTTTTACCAATCAACATTTATATCTATATTTACACAACCATTGTTCTATTAGTCCTCGTAATTGGTTTAATCCGCTCCTTTATTTACTATATACTTTGTTTACGAAGCAATGAACTTTTACATAATTCAGCTTTTGTCGCATTGATACGAACGGATATGAGATTCTTTAATATGAATCCTAGCGGGAGGATTCTCAATAGATTTTCGAAGGATATTACTACTATTGATGAGTCCTTACCAAAAACTATATTGGATTCTAGACAGGTGATGCTGAATGGTGATGATTGGTGGAGCGTTGATTATTACTTGTTGTATCAATCCACTGTTTACCATTCCCACTGTCATCATTTCGATTGTTTGTGTTGGTTAAGGAAAATTTATTTGAAGAGCAGCAGGAATATTAAAAGATTGGAAGGAATAAGCGAGTATTTATCGACATACTGTATTGGAGTAAAAGTCTGAAGTTGTCAATAAGCGTGTAAAAGGTATTGAATCTCAATGTCCTTTTTGTCTCTCCCCTTTTACGTGTCTTGTGACAATCGATACTTTACGAAAAATGATTCAAGCTTGACTTTTATGTATAGCAGGCCGCTAAAATTCAAGCATTCAGCTTACATTCAAAATTAAATATATTGTTTATATGAGTCCTTTTTAATTCAAGCTCGATCGCCAGTTTTCCCTCATATCAATGCCACGCTGCACGGCATAGTAACGATAGGTGCGTATCAAGCACAAATGATTCTAAAAAAAGAATTCGATAAGTTTCAAGACATTCGTACATCCTCGTGGTTCACCGCCAGCAGTATGGCTTACGCCTTTTTCATTGATATCTTCCTGTTTGGCTTCGCTACCTTCATCATTTTTAGCTTTTTATTTCTGAAAGATAGTACGTATGTTTTGATAATTTTTCTATTACATATTTCAAATGTCGACATGAAAAATGTTTAATCTTTTTAACAATAGATTTCAACGGGGCTCTGGTAGGCTTAGTAATTACACAGATGATGTTGATAGCCGCATACTTTCAATGGGGTATGCGTCAAAGCGCCGAAGTAACAAGCCAGATGATATGTCTGTAGAACGTATTCTGGAGTACACGCAAATTCCTCCAAAGAAAAATCTACGTGATGAGTTTATGGGCCCAACTAAAAAGAATAACAAATAATAACTATTTTATATAATGTAAAGCGTTGAATGATGTATTAATTAGACAAGTAAAATATGGAAAATGAACGAATGTTTAGAAGTCATGAGTTAGTTTTGTTCTAATGTGGTTCCAAGATCTATCAAACATTGAGTTCATTTTTATCTTATTTTTATTTTATCAATAGGGAGTCATGAAATATTACCAAATGTTACAATTATATTGTAAATTAAGATAAGTATAACAGAAATACTTCTGCAAAATAATTTTATTACCTTTACTATTTCTTCAAGTCATGCTTTACTGATTAACGAATAATAAAATTAAAGTTACCATGGCGTATATTAATTGATTATTGAAGTGCGTCATAAAGAATCGACGATAATTAAGAAAAAAGCTAATAATTATTATAATTTAATATGTTTTGCGTAAATGAAATATTATTATGTTTACGATAAGATAGAAACTTATCATAAAACTAAGGCTAAATTGAAACAGTTTTGATAAAATTAATAACCGTTATTTCACTTCCATATTGCCACTGTACTTATGCAGTTGTACAATTTGCAAATAACGAAAATTCAAGTTTTATAAATTCATTCTAGATGAATTTACACAATTCAAAATTATTACACAAATATTAATTATTTTCTATATTTTTTTTCCCATAACATAATAAAAAGATGAATTCAATCAAAAGAAAAAGTAGATTACAACCTGTAGAAACATCAAGTATAATCTCAAGAGCATTCTTTTGGTACTAATATTTTCATTATAATTTGATTTTTTGAAACTATACTTTATAATATTGTCAAAATTGAAATGAATATGTTACAGGTGGACATGGGGCACCCTAAAGAAAGGTTATAAAAAGACATATACTGTAGACGACTTAGGCGATTCTTTAAAAAATGACGAAACTTCTTTACTTGGTTCTCGACTAGAAAAGTAACCTACCAGTTTAATTTTAGTTTGGTGATATTCCAACTTTTCATAACAACAATGTGTTTACGTAGGTTTTGGAATGTAGAATTGTTAAAAGCCAAGCCGAGTTTGTTGAGAGCACTTTTCTTTACATTTTGGAAAGGTTATTCAAAAGCATTGATTTTAGGTTTGTTGGAAATAGTTATATGGTAAGGATTGACGTGAATTTTCGTATGAACTAACACTATTTGTATATTATTAATAATTTGCAATTCATTAGGGTGTCGATGCCGTTGATTTTCGACTTATTCTTGCATGCTTTCTCGCCTGAATCGACAGCTACATTGGGTGAAACCTTATTTTATGGCTTGTCTCTTGTTGGTTTAGATCTAATAAAATATTTTATTCAATGTCACATGTTATTCTCCGGTTTTTGGGTGGGAGCCCAAATTCATATTACCATCTGTTCTTTAATATACAGAAAAGTATGTTTAAAAAATACTTCTTTTCTCAACTATTTCAAAGGACATGTAAAAATTGAATTTATAGGCAACCAGATTGAACAAGACATCATTGAATAGAACGTCATCAGGACAAATAGTAAATCTAATAGCTCATGAGGTTCAACGTTTTCATTATTTAATAATTAATAACGTGAGTGCAGTGAGTACTTCACTGTGCATATTACTCGTAGCAAGCATATTGTACAGCATGTATGGTTTTGCTGGTATCGTAGGGCTAATTTTAGTCATAAAAATTTCTTTTATACAAGGTAAAATATTTTTTTTTATAATTTAAAAACCATCAATTCAGAACTTTTTCTGTTACAGTATTTACCGGAAGCATATCGGTGAATTATCGTCAAAAAGCAACTGAAAAGGCAAACGAACGCATCCGATTAATCGATGAAATAATATCAGGCGTACAAGTGATGAAGATGTATACATGGGAAAAATTGTTTTCCTCGCAAGTGAAGAAAGTGAAACACGCAGAATTCCTACTCACGAAGAAAGCTTCCTACTTTCGTAACGTTTTTTGGACGTTTAATCTGTTCGTTCCACGGATTGGAATATACAGTACTTTGATTGCAATATTATTATTAGGTGAAATACCAACAACTCAAAGTATTTTCGTAATCTTGAAGTTTTTGTTTCTACTAAATGAGAAGTTATTAGCGAGTTACAAGGGTATCGGTGATTTCAAAGATTCTTTAGTTGCAGCCCATAAAATTGAAGAATATCTTTTGCTTGAAGAGGTTTCTCGTTCGAGCAATGGTAATCTTGATAAGAATATGATTTATGAATACGTAAACAAAGCATTTAAATCATTTGAAGGCGATGCGATGAAAGAAAAAGCGATTGAAGATAGTACGCAGTAAGTAATAAAAGTGAAATAAAAAATAAATACTAATACTTAATAATGAGAGTATTGCAATGTTCTAGCAATGAACTTTCCGTTACAATAGATAATCTCTCCATAGCATGGGATCGAGAACCGCCCAGAAACGTCTTAACAAACGTCAACTTAAAATTCGAAAAAGGAAAATTATATTTAGTTATTGGGATTGTAGGATCTGGAAAGTCATCGTTACTATCCTCAATACTAAAAGAAATAAATATCACTAGAGGAAGTATACATATGCATGGTCGACTGAGTTACGCAGGACAAGATACTTGGATTTTTGGCGATACTATTCGACAAAATATTTTATTTGGAGAACCTTACGATCATCTTCGTTATGACCATGTAATAAAAGCTTGTTGTTTGAAGGAAGATTTCAAACAGTTTCCTAAGGGTGATCGCAGTATTGTTGGAGAAAAAGGTATTTTGTTATCGGGTGGACAAAAAGCTAGAATCAACTTGGCAAGAGCAATTTACAGACAAGCTGATGTTTATTTGCTGGATGATCCTTTAAGTGCTGTAAGAAACAAAGGTTATCGTTAAAATTTCAAAATGTCATTTTAATAACGTATAAACAATAATTACAGGTTGATGCTCACGTGAGCAAACGTTTGTTTGAAGAATGTATACAGAACTTTTTGCGAAACAAGACTCGAATATTGGCAAGCCATCAGTTACAATACATCAAAGATGTTGATGCTATTGTATTGGTTGACAACGGAACAACATACTTTTATGAAAACTATAATGAACTTTTTAATGAGCACAGTGAATATCGAAATTTGATTGCCATCGAAGAGACCAAAATTTCTACAAACACTGTTAATATTAGATCGTTAACGATGAATGAAGAAAATTCGGTAGGTTTTAATATTGAGAAAATTGAATGATTCTTTGAATGACACATTTACTTATTTTAGATGTTGTCATATCAATCAATAAGAAGCGACGAAACGAGAAAAATGAACGACATAATAGAGAAAATTCCTAAAAACAATGAAATAGGAAGTTTACTAATGAAATACTTCAAAGCTGGCTCAAACATGTTTTTTATATTGGTCACATTTTTATTATTCTTTTTAACTCAAGCTATCGTGTGTGCTAATGACTTTTACATTTTAATATTGTAAGTTTACTATTGCAAAATCTAGAATGATGCATGATTATAACTTTATTATTTCGTAGTGCTACAGCAGAAGAAAATCGATATCGTGCAAGTCACACAACGAACATGAACGATACTTCTCGTGCACAATTAGAAAAGAATCTTTACCCGACAGAAATTTACATCAGTGTTGCTATAATTCTATCGATGACTATCTTCACAGTCGGGATTATCCGCACAATATTCTTCGACACTATGTGTCTACGAGGTTCGAAAAATCTTCACAACTCAGCATTAGACGCTTTAATAAGCACGAAACTGCGATTTTTTCATACGAATCCAAGTGGTCGAATTTTGAATCGTCTTTCCAAAGATATCACAATCATCGACGAAGCATTACCAGTGACTTTGATCGACGTTATTCAGATATTCTCTATGGTGGGAGGTGCACTCTTTGTTACGTGTACCATTGCTCCGATTTTCGTTGTGCCGGCTATCGTCATCGCTGGATTGTGTTATTGGTTACACGATCTTTTTCATAAATCTATAGAGTCAATTGGTTGCTTGGAAGCAGCGTGTAAGCAATTGTGTAATGCTTTATTGCTCGTTCATTTTGTTATTAATGGTTTTCTTTTTAGTAAAATCCCCAGCATTCACACAACTCAATGAGACACTCAATGGTATCACAACGATTCGCGCTTTTCAAGCCGAAAATCTGCTGATAAACGAGTTCGACAAGTTGTTGGATTTACAATTCTTATCTTGGTACAACTTCACGGCTTGTAAATTTGCCTTCGGCATCGTAATGAAGACACTTACGGATGTATTTATATTCATTATAGTATGCGTCTTTGTATTTTTCAAAACCGGTAAATGTCTTTGCTATCATATATTAGAAACGTCAATTCTATGAAACTATTTTTGTCTTAGATTTTCAAAGTGGAGATGTAGGTTTAGTAATAACTCAAGTATTCGGCATGACAAGTTTGATGATCTACAGTTCATCAGTTAGCACCGACGTAGCGAATTTTCTAAAAGCAGTCGAGAGACTAGTCGAATACTCGGAGTTACCACGTGAAAGCAACAATGAACCACGTGATGAAAATAAAAAACAATTATACTCCGCTATATTATCACCGAAGAATTGGCCTGAAAATGGTGAAATTGAATTCAGAAACGTAACGTCGAGATATTCACTCGAAGACGATCCTGTTCTAAAATTTTTAAATTTCCGTATAGAAGCACATCAGAAGGTTAGTTTTTTATAGAAACAATTTTGGTTGTGTAAATATCTCACGAGCTTTTATATCCAGATAGGAATAGTTGGAAGAACTGGCGCCGGTAAATCGTCTTTGATATCGGCTTTGTTTCGATTATCTGAGATCGATGGGCTTATAAAGATCGATGGGATCGATACGGGATCAATATCTCTGACAGCTTTGAGAAGTCATATATCAATCATACCTCAAAATCCTGTATTATTTTCCGGCACTCTCAGACAGAATTTGGATCCGTTTAATGAATATTCCGATGATGATTTATGGAACGTGCTCGAACAGGTAAAACACACGGATATTTAAATTAAATTATTATCAATGATGACATTTTTTCAATGAGCGTGACTCGCTTACAAGTGCCAATTCATTGAAACATATTAGCTACTGTATGCGATAACGTCAAGATATTAGCATTCAAAATTATTTTTAGGTTGAGTTGAAAAAAAGAGTTTCTCTAGAAAGCGACGGCTTAGATTGTAAAGTTCAGGGCAAAGGTGCAAATTATAGTATCGGTCAGAAGCAATTGATCTGTTTGGCACGAGCAATGTTAAGAAAAAATGTTATTCTCGTACTTGACGAAGCGACGGCAAATGTAGACCCACATACAGATTTACTAATACAAGAGACGATACGTGAGAAATTCAAATCGTGCACCGTATTGACAGTAGCTCACCGGCTGAACACGATTATAGACAGCAATAAGGTGATTGTTATGGATAATGGTTATCTTGTGGTAAGTTTGCACGTCAGGTATTATTAACCATATCTTATGATAACGATGTTGACTTTTCTTTTGTACAGGAGTTTGATCATCCATACAAGTTACTTCAAGACGAGAACGGATACTTTACCAAATTAGTTAAGCAAGTTGGCGATGCGATGTTCCAGCAGTTTCTTCAATTTACAAAATTGTCTTACAAGAATGTTTAATAGATTGGTTAGTCCTTCTTCAATTCTTTCTCGCGGTTATCAGTAATTTGTTAGCTAATAACTGATTGTCAGTGGAAAACGAATTGTGTGGTTAGCCACTGTTGAAAATTATACCACGTTTTGACAGCAATAATAAAAATGGAAATATACGGTTTATATATTTGTAAGACGTAATTCAATGTTGGAAGTCAAGCGTATGTTTTCACGAACATTTTTTGAGATAAAAAATCAATTATTCGTTATAACATAAATTTTGAAAGACGATATCTTCAAATAACAGCAATGACTTTTTAAGCATTTTTTCCTGTGTAAAAAAAATGTCAATGATAAAAAAATAATATCTTTTTTGTGATCATATTTTTTTGTAAAAGCATTGATTAGATTCTTTTACATATAATGATGATATAACAAAAGTTAATGCTATAATAAATTATAATTTTCATAAATATTCATTTGTCGTTGTCATTTCGACATAGTGTTGATAAATTAATTATGAGATTTCGAGCAGCTCAAAAACGAAAAGTTTACCGATATTTTCGTTATATTTTATAATTACAGGTTATTATATATTTTTATAAAATATACAAAATCGCATTTTTTATAATGGTTGTTTTATGAAATGCACAAAATATCATTTTACATATAACTTATAAAATTTTTTAACTACTTACATACTTATAATAAATCTCAACAATTGATTTTTCATGATGTAAACGTATTCGTGTAAATGCATAAAATCAATTTTTTAAGTTAAGGCGAAGTGAATCCTTAATACAAAAAAGGGTTCCACTTACACTCTCTCTATACCACTCTCCCTCTCTCCCTCCCTTGCTCTTTCTCTCTCTCTCTCTCTCGTTCCCTCTCACTCTCTTCTGGTGTCACGTGGCTGTTGCGAGGTTAGGATATAGTCACAGCAATAGTAAGTATGTACTGCTTCGGTTTTTGAAAGAGAGGGAGAAACGCGAGTAGCTTATGCTGCTCGTAGTCACCGGACGACGGGACGTACAGTTGGCTTTAACACTGCCTCACAGCTTCCATGCTCTGTGTGTTACGTGTTTTTTTCCTGTCTCTGTGTACAGCTATCTCCTCTCGCCACTGACGCTGTCCGATTTTTTTTTTCTAATTTTTTTGTTCTTATTCTCCGATCACATTGAAGATTAAAAAAATTAACTACTAGAAATTAAGGTTAGTGACACCATATTATTTATGCACATTACTTGGATATATTTTCTCTCCGTCGACTCGCACGCATTCATTAATTACCATGCGTGTGAACGATCGCCGCACACGTGAAGCATTTTATTAATTGCGCCCTACACACATGTATAAATCTATTTTTCGCTGTATGTTTGTTTTCAACAGCGCGCGAGTTTTCGAATCCATAAGCATCAATTAGATTTACAAAAAAAAAACGGAGAAATTCATTCGCACGCACGTGGCTGATATTTTATTATGTCGGTTGACATTATTACTAAAGCACAAGAAACAGAACCTTTGCAAAAGCATTATACAGCTTGAAAAGTATTGACTTCCGAGGTTGCGTTGGTGTATAAATGGCGTGTGAGATTTTACGATTTCCGTTATCTTTTTTGTCACAACGACGTAAATAACTATGTCGCTATTAATTGACTGGGATCTCATCTCTTATCGACAGCTGTTCATTTTAATAATCGCTTACGAATTTCGTAGCTTCTTTTACGGAAAAATCCAAGGTTGTTTTAAGCGCCGAGTGCGTGCAGATGGTTAGTCAGACGCGTATATACAACAACGGATGACTTTATTTTTTTACGCTTACATACTTAAATATTTCGACGAAAAATTACACCAGTGATTTCTGCTTATAGCACTTCAGAAGAAACGCCCAGTAAATTTAATTTATGACAGAAAAAAATAGGATCCCATCGCTCTTGTGGAACGTTATATTGTTTAGCTGCGTTAAATGAACAAGAAAAACCTTAAAATCATTAACTTGTGAGATCTGTTTTCTTACCACGCGCTCTGTAATTATCCGCTAATGATAGTGAAGTCTAACGTCCGACCGCGATCCAGTTTCAGTTTGATACACAGGAAATAATTTGTGTGTAGAGTATTACATGAGAACAAGAACTTTTCAAAATATCAGCGATTATTTCAGATACATTTTTTCTTTAAAATCCTGTTTATTTATAGTTTCGAATTCGAGTATATCGGTTAGGAAATTTGGTATTTAACGCCTGGTAATTCGAATTTAATATATAATTTTCCTTTTGATTTCACTTTGTGACGTCAAAGCTCATTATCGCGAGCGCAAAACGTCATATAATTATATATAATAATTCCAGCTGCGCTTTGATAGAACGTGTTTTTATATAAATTTAATATGAAATGTCAATCAGTAAAATTTTGTTTTCTCAAATTAGTAAACGTTAGAAAAATCAAAGCATTCCGTTTGCCTTACGATACAATTAAAAAACAACAGTTACCCAATTAACTCTCCTATCAGTTTTCATGATTTATAATATTTTTCCATCGAAAAGCTTAATAAAATTCAAAAGTTCTATTTAACATCATTAAAATATAATAAACACAAATCGTTTAATTCAAGTTCTCTTTAAAGCATTGCTTGATAGCAAGAAAATTACGTTTAATACATTTTATCATTTAATATTTTCCTCTATCAACTCAAAACTTTCCAGAACCTTTCAATTGATACATCGAACTACATAATATTGTGTAATTGGTAAAATACGTCGATTAAAATCTCAAGTTAACATAAAGATAAGACATACGAAAAAAAGAAAGTTATAGTTTGTTATCTGCCGCATATCATTGAAAACTAATACCGCATAAACCTTAAAATAGATATCTATTTAGCAGAGAGTATTGATACAACACAGTAGCTTACGCATGTATAGCTCGTATCGCATCGTTTAGCACGATTAAAGGGTGCAGCAGTCAGTTGATTCGCTTCAGTGCTTTGAATACATCGCAACAAATCTTTATATGTTGTTGCGGTCGCTCACTTTTAATTGCTGGTTCTGAAATTTTTTATTTTTTTGAATCAACGGTTTTTTCTTTTATATTTTCTTTTTTAACGTGTAGAATAAGTCATTCCCGCCACAAATTAGCAACCGTTGTCTACATATCTACGATGATGGTATCGTGAACGTGATAACTCGAATTAAAAAATGAAATATGAGCTTGGCAATGCACTTTTTATATATATAAGTTAAAATACGGTGAAAATGACAGCTGTATATGCCATTTTTTATTTTTACAGCCAATTGCAATTAACTTTGAGCTGTTAATATTTTTGCTACACTACAACATAACGTGCAAATAGTTGACTAAACAGTATCACAATTTGTATTAAACGTTTTTATAGAATTTATATACAACCTCCGCACATTGACATGTAAGTGTTTGTCGATGAATCAACTGATTTGTCGACAATTCAGCAATTGATTATTAAAATCATACTTGCATAGCGCAATAAATATCATTTAATAAAATCTGCTAATCGATCGAGCAATGATTCTTCGCTCTGCAAATGATACACAATAATGCACAACCATTGTTTTTGCGACATAAAATAAACTACAGTTTTTCGAATGTCAATAATACATTTTTGTCAATTCTTGAAAGAAGATTAAGCTGAGCTTGTTCTTCAGAATTTCCGTTATTTCGTCAATCATTGTCCGCAATAATCCACGCTGACCGCGTGTGATAGCGCCGTCGATAAACTTGATTATTCTATATATACTACATATGATGTAATACAAAACTGTGTTCAGATTGAAAATATACGTAATTATGATCAATGTTCTTAATATGTAGCTTCTAGACATGGAGGTCAGCCATTAAGTTTGTAACTTGATTAGTACGTTGTCAGATACATCTTTCAGTGTATGAGTTTAATAAATTTTACTTTAGGAACTATATTGCCACAGTGTATTATTGATTACTTGTAAGGTCGTTGAATGATAAATAAATGTTCGTATTTAATTCCATTTAAGTATGCAAATCAGACACGTGTTAAACTGATAAAAGTTGCAGAATGAAGTGGAGAAATGACTTCAGTAATCCGTTTATTTGTTTTGATGAGATACAATTTAACTTTAGTAATTAGTGATGAAATAAGAATAAATTTTATTAATTATATAATAAGTTTTAATAAATGTGAACGAAGATGGTAATCGATCTTTAAATATTTTTATAAAAAACTCTGAAGGTTTTCTTTTCTTACGTGGAAAATGATACTCTGACATACTTTTTTAGTATTTAAAATTTATTTGCTTTCATGTGTATTTACCATAAAAGTGCAATCTAACGTAAATAAAAAATGAATGCAAATTCAGTATCAAATGTTTAATTGGCTACTTCTCCATCTACGCAAATAGCATGAAAGTTAATTGCAAAAGCGAACAAGCTAGGAGAGGACAAAATGTTATTATGAACGAAACGTGCGTGGGTATTGAATCGCAAGTGTGACGACCACAAGCCACTCGATATCATCTTAGAAGAAGCGCGCGCTCGGCGTCAAGTAAGAGGCCTGCGCATGACTTATTAAAGCGTGTTGGCCGGCCGTGCAATGCGCTTGGGGAATTATATAACAGTGAAAAATCGCGCAGCGCAAAGCGCGGATAATACCGGCATCAATGAGCCTAACGGCTTCGTGTAAATGTGGCTTTGACACGAATTTTTTCGTTCAAAGATCAAAGCTTTACTGAATGATTTACGCGAGGCTTTTTTTACCAGCGATTAATCCTTCACATTGAATTGATTTTTTTACGCTTACTTTTTGAAAATAGTTAACGAAGGATATTCTGTTAATTATTTTGATTTTTTGAACTAGTAAACTTTTCATCACAGTGTTTTAGACGGGCGATTGGTCATCGATTTTCACAATGAAGAATTTCATATGAAATTTATCGCTTGAAAGATTTTTAATTAGGGCATCTGCTATTTCATGTTGCCATTTTTAACTTCTCGAGAAAATAACACATTTTGATTTTTAACATAGCAATGTAAACTTTTAAACTCGCAAAATCATTCGTGATTTCATAGTAATCGAAAAAGGCGCTTTCAGATATTTCGAAGTGAATAGCCCGAGTCATCACTTGCTGTTTAATTTCAACCTTGAAACATAATCGTCGTAAGATTTGTTTCTCCATTTATTTCATCAGATTTTTTTCAGTGACTATAGATTCTTTTTACTCATAAAAAAGTAAATTAATCGACATATATTCTTCGAATCCTAGGTAATCACAATTAAAACTTCATTTCCTACCATCTTGAACAACGTTATTTAAGTCCACCTTTTTTAAATTTTCATAATTTGAAATGCAAAGTTTTACTGACAACCAATAAGAGAAAAAACTTTTAATTATGCAGTACAATAGCCCATAATCATGAAACAAAAAAAAATCTAAAAGAATCCAACAGTTCCATTGATTCAACACAATCAATCCTCCTTGTCATCATCTGGCGTCGACCTTGCAAAGTGCCATAGGCTCTTATCGCAAATTGAAGCGCGTGCGCTTTTTCAGCCGTTCAGCTAACAATTCGTTTTATCAACGGTCGTGTGGTTGACCCTTTAACTGCCTACAATGTAATTTTCTCTTCTTTAATCTCACACTCATGATGATGACGTTGTTATTATCATGAGCATATGTTTTCTCAGAAAAGTAATGAAATGAGAGCATGTCAATTAAACATATGATAATTGCTGAAAGGAACGGAGTTATTGTCCTTCGTTATTGTTCGCTTATCAGCCGGTTTAAATCGATAAAGACGTGGTTAATTTTATCGGTCATCGTTGGCATTTTTTAATGAACACGAGACTGTGATGATACTCTATTTTAGTAGTTTCCGCGATGATAGATAGTAGAATGAAAATTCACTATAGAAATAATTGGATAACGGTAAAAGGAATGTTTTTTTCTGAAGCTATAAAAAAATTTAGTATCCAGTTTATCGTGTTTGGCTTTCTGATGCAATATTCAATCGAAATTAAAAAAATCTACTGAATATAGTTAATTTTTAACAAAATAAGTGTATACAACAATTTATTGGCAGAGGCCGCCTGAAATAATATTTTACGTTTTGCCTACACGCGATCTGAACGCGCACAGGCAAGGTCAAACGAAAAGTTAAGACTTAGTAATGAGCCTACAACTAAAAAAAACTTGTCGATTCACGGCTGTAACGACGACTCGTACTAACGTTCGCTTCTGATAAAGATAAAAGCGAATATGTGCATTGATCGGATGTATATATTACATGGTTCGATATAATATAACGATACGCAGAAAAATTAATACTGAAACTTATTCGATTTGTTTGACGACGGTTTTCTAAATCACGTAAGTTGCTCGCTGCTATTTCAACATAAGAAAACTCGTGAGATTATTAATTTGAAGTAAGTAGAATGTGACTCAATGGAATAACTGTCAGAGACAGAACAATTTCCTTGACGAGCGTGAACTTGCAGTTTGCAGCTCAAGATCCAGGGACAATTGAATCGTAAGCCTCTCTCTTGCCTTGTTAATACGGTGTATTCTTTACTCCTCGTGATTACGTTCTCGTTGTTTGTCGTTCACTGACATGCAATTTCATCTCTCACACTCTTGTTGTGAAACGAAAAGGCGCGATATTGAAATCAACAGGAAAATACTCGATTGTCATTTTCAGAGAAGATATAATCAAAGGTTTGCGACGTCGAACTTCATTATTTTGTGAGCATACCTTATTTTTCTTTTTAATTTTAAAATCATGTTTCGCATTACAGTCCAGTAGAATTGCCCCAAAATCGACCCAAAAGTGGATGTACGAGAAAAAAAATTTTTAAGTCCGGGGAGTGGTCAACAATAAACGTTGTCGATGCTCCAGCTAAAAAGCTTTGACCATTTAGTTATTAATAAATAAGTGAAAAAAATGCCAAAAAAGAGGATTTTTTTTAGAAAATGAATTATATCTCAAAAACTAGAAGTTTTGGCGAATAGATGTATTGTTGTTTTCTGTTCCTTATCAAATTTGCTATCAAATACAAGTGGTTCAATATACATAATTGCAAAATTTCATTGTTTATGTTGCGTGTAATTTTATTTTATATTTACATTTATATATTTATTTTATATTTTATTTTGGAGTTCGCGAACAATGTTCTCTCCGCTTTTCTTATGTCTGCTTCTATGAGTCAGCTCCCACAGCACCATTTTTATAATTTGTAGCTATTCTCGAAAGGAAATTTTCCAGCATGGAGTATAACAAAAATGAAAATCACTAAGCTTCTTCGTATTATATTAGCAGTAATTTATGACGGAAGAATACCTTGAGTCATAGTATAAAAATGCGAATTTTTACATTAAATAGTTCAATTGTTACACATTAAAGTGGGCAATAAATTATCGATGTCTGCAGTTGTAGTCTAACGATAAGTATAATTTAAAATAACGTCAAAATCAGTTATCAATTGTAATTGTTTCGATAATTCTCTTGTGTCACTTCAAATTATCTGCAATGTAGCTTCTTATAGTTTATAAGTTTGACTGAAATTAACAATATCTAAAAATTAGACGAAAAAGACTTTTTTTCGGTGACCACTTTTTTGCATGGAGCATACACAGTATAATTTTGCAATTGATAGTAAAATTGACTTATATTTGATAGCAAATTAATAAAGAACAAAAAGCAATAATACAACTTTTCGCTAAAACTTGGTTTTTGAGATATAGCTCATTTTCTAAAAATAAAATCCTCATTTTCGGCTTACACTTTTCAGCTGGATCATCGATAGCGTTTATTACTGACCTTTTCCTGAACCTAAAAAATTTTTTTTCTCGCCTCTACCTTCTACATCCACGTAAAACTCTAATTCTGCTGGACTATTATATTAATCAGCTGCTATAAACTATAATCTCAGATAAATCGTTGTATTTTTGTCGCAATAATAAAAACACTGCGTAGTGATTGAAAATTTAAAATTCGTTGCAAACATATAGCGATCTATTTTTTCGTGATTCAGCATGTGGACGGTCTCAACAATGAAATTTTACATGCACATGTATGTAGAATGAATTTAAATACTCGCATTAATTTAAAAATTTTCGAGATAGCTCATAAGACTCGACATGAAATTTAATATAGCGTCTACTGTTTCCGCACGGTGAAAGCTGACTATCTACATTCATGCGTTAGTAATCTGACTTTAATCTCAATCCCGGCGCATTATGCACGCGCGTCATAATTCGCTTGTTTGTTTGGGTCAAATATTCAACTCGTTTACTAATTATGCAAAACATTTGCGCGGTATATGTATTAGACGTGACTTTTTCAAAACAACATTCGGTTCACTTTGAAAAAAGAGTGTTTATGATTTTGTGATAAATGTGTGATTTTGTAAATTATATAAGTTTCATATTGCAGTACAGATATCGGCTTGTTGTGCGAAGTTTTTAACTACTCAAAAGAGATAATGCATTTTTCAAAAAATAGTTGTAATCAAGACGATAAAACGCGATTTGATAAGTACTTATATAAGCTTATGGGTAGAATATAGCGGATCATACGTTCAAGATAAAATTTATAATTACAGTACTTTTAACGAGCCCACTCATTCATACCTATATTTAGAAAATTTAGATAATAACTGTTCTGTTCTATTTTGTTTGTTCAACTAGGATTATCAAAGGCAGTCGCTTGCTACAAAGCCAAAACGCAACCAGAGAAGCCAAACTTTGCAGGGAATGAATGTGCAAGAAGCGAAGATTCAATGTAGTGTCTGTGCGTGATTGAAAGTCAATGTGGTATTTAACAAGTGAAATAAGAGACTGACAGTTTTGTGATTGTGGTGATAGAAAGTATATAAAATAGCAGCGAAGAACGGATGCGGATCGATGAGACGTTTCGATCATGGACAACAGGAAAATCATCAGTAATCCGAATCCCAGAGAGAGGGCCAATGTCTTATCCATATTGACGTGGACGTAAGTAGTTTTCTCGATTGGTATCCGAAATTGCGAGTAAAAATATATTTTTTATTGAGCTGTCTTTTTGAGTTTAGTTTAAATGTATGCTAGGGGTTTTTTTTTTTCAATTTGAATTCCATTTCTGCAATTGCTTTTTTGATATATGTGTTTATGTGATAGGCAATCACGAATTATTTGCTATTTTATAGATGGACTTTCAATTTATTCAAAAAAGGCTACAGCAAGATCTTAGGAGTCGAAGATCTTTATGATCCAGTTAGCACGGACAAGTCAAGTGTACTTGGTGATCGATTAGAGAAGTTAGTATTTTTTATATTTATGGCAATATAATAATTGATATCGATCACAAAAACTATCGCAGAAAGATTCATTAAAGTACTGTAGTCAATAATTGTTACTATGTTTGCAGACAATGGTTTGCCGAGCTACAGAAAGCGAAAAGAAAAAATCGTCGTCCAAGCTTCTTGTGGGCGATTTGTATAGCGTTTGCGTCCGAATACTTTATATTGGGCTGCATACAAATACTCAATGAGCTAGTTTTGAGGTAAATAAATTTGTAATGTTTGGATAACGGAAATAAATTGAAGTTCAGGAAATGTTACTCGTACAGCCCATATAATAATTTTACTGTAATTGTACAGTTGAGATACGCAACGGTCCTCGTTGGGAAAATTTAACATCCGCTTGAGATTAGTGTGAACATGCATTTTGATACATTACAGATTACTATTGATATCCGAGCTTTAACTGTACATAGTTAAACACGAGAAGAACATAAATACACAGCGCTAATGTTACTTCAATAAAATACGTTGCCGAATCTTCAGCTAAATTATTGTTTTAGTAAAGTTTCAAAATTATAATAACTACGTTACATTTTTCATGATAGGTTGGGCACACCGATGCTCCTCGGTGCACTTCTTCAATATTTCAAGCCAGGTTCCACAACAAGTTACGAGGAAGCAATGTACTTCGCCACCAGTATAGTATTAGCAAGTTTGGCTAATGTGATATCGTTGAATCAAACAATTTTCGGCGCTTTTCACGTGGGTGGACGCATTCGAGTTGCCGCTTGTTCCGTTGTTTACAGAAAGGTGATTATTAGAATTTGATTTGTATTTTTAAATTGTCCAACCAATAATAAATAATGTTTGATTTCTCAGGCTTTACGTTTGAGTAAGACTGCCATGGGTGAAACAGCACCTGGTAAAATAGTCAATTTAGTAGCCAGCGACGTCAATAGGTTCGATATTATATCAGTATTTATTCATCACATGTGGTCAGCACCACTGTCAGCAATGGTTATATTAGTACTGTTGTATTTGAAAATTGGATGGTCAGCTTTAGTTGGAATGACAATCATATTCCTCGTTGTACCGTTCCAAGGTAAATTTTTACGTTTAAAAATAACATTAGTAAAAAATTCTGTTTAATGCATTTTATTTTACCGCATAAAGGTTATTTGGGCAAACTGTCTTCCAAATTCCGCCTGCAAACATCGATAAAAACCGATGAGCGCGTACGTCTTATGGACGAAATAATATCCGGCGTGCAGGTAATCAAGATGTACGCCTGGGAGAAGCCATTTTGTGCATTGGTCGAATCAGCTCGCCGACTCGAGCTCAAAGTCGTAAGAAAGAGTTCGTATATCCGTGGTATTTACATGACGTTTAATATGTTTACCACGCGAGCTGCCTTGTTCGGTACTTTGATAACGATGATGATCAGAGGCCAACCACTTACCGTCGATGAGGTGTTCGTTTACATGTCATATTTCAATTTGATGGCACAAACAATGTCTTCCATGTTTGTACGTGGTATTGCTGAGATTGCCGAGTGTAGAGTTGCAGTTAATAGATTGCAGAATTTTCTGATGTTTGAGGAGTTCGAATCGAGTAATGTTAATAATGGGATTGCCAATTTGTCGAATTCGAATAATTCGGTATCGATGAATTCTACGTCTAAACCGGATCTTCCGTATATCGATGAAGATGTTACTTATGAGGAGAGGTCGAATGATAAAAGTAGACAGAGCTTTGTTATGCGAGCTAGTGAATTGTTGAAACATGATAACATCGAAGCTAATGGAAAGCAGAAAAAAAACGTCAAGTAAGTGAACTATTTTAATGACATTTTGCACAAGATGATTTCTACAAGATTATATTTAATTATTTCCAGACAATACACAGACAAATCCAAAGAAAACTGGGCTATAAGACTGAACCATGTAACGGCCAAATGGGACTTTCACTCGACTGAAACAACTCTCGAAGATGTCAATTTAGAAATGGAAAGAGGCAAATTGTACATTGTAATTGGTATGGTAGGAGCTGGGAAAAGTTCACTCATTTCTACAATTTTGGGAGAACTCAAAGTACTGCAAGGCAACACTGAAGTTAAAGGAAGTATTAGTTATGCCGATCAAGACGCATGGGTTTTCGGCGCAACCGTAAGACAGAATATTATCTTCGGTCAGAAATTCGACAGACATAGGTATCAAAAAGTAGTGAAGGTATGCGCTTTGCAAAAAGATTTCAAGCAATTCCCTCACGGTGATCAGACGATCGTTGGCGAGAGAGGAAGTTCATTATCAGGAGGTCAGAAAGCCAGAATCAATTTGGCGAGATCGGTTTATCGTGAGGCTGACGTCTATTTGTTAGATGATCCGCTGAGTGCTGTAAGAATATTATATTCATTTATATCACGAGAAAAAAATGTATAATTAACCTTTCTGATATTTAGGTTGATGCGCACGTTGGTAAACATTTATTTGAAGAATGTCTCCAGAAATATCTATCCGGCAAAACGCGTGTCTTGGCAACCCATCAGCTACAGTACATCAAAGGTGCAAATGCTATTATTTTGCTGGATCAAGGAAAATTACATCATTTTGCCGATTATCAAGAACTGTTGCGCGTTCATCCCGAGTACAATAGTTTAATCGCCGAGGAAAAAGCTGCAGAATCCACTGAAGAGTCTTCCATTGAAAAATCGTCTCATATAAGGCGTCAGTTCTCTTCGTCGAGTACAAGGGTAATTTATTAAGTTTTAATACACCAAGTTTAGTTTTATAACGTATGTTATTAGCACTCTTATACTTTCAGAGTCGAGCAACTGATAGCGGAGCAGAGACCGACGGGGAAGATGAAGACGATGAGAACAATGTTCAAGGAGATTTCTTAGAAGGTACATCACGCGGAGCCGTTAAAGGTAGCCTTATGATAAGGTACATGAGATCTGGTGGAAGCAGTATATTTGCACTAGTAGTTTTCATTCTATTTTTGGCAACTCAATTTTGCGTCAGCTGCAACGATTGGTACATTCCCCAGATGTATGTATTATCAAAATACTGAATTATACATAAGGACTTTTTTTACTAAATGTACATTATTTCAGTGTCAATGCCGAAGAATCCCGTAATTACTATAATGCAATGCACACAGTAAATTTTACAGACAGTTTTGCAATGAAAGATATTCCAGAAGCTGGAAACAATCATAGTACAAAGGCCTACCTCGCCGAAGATAATCTTGAATCGAAAGAGTACTACATGTACATATATACAGCCATCGTAATGTCAATATTTCTGGTAGGCATTGTGCGATCCTTCGCTTTCTATCAAGTTTGTTTGAGTGCCAGTCAACGCCTTCATGATCTCGTCTTTGGAGCTCTTATTCGAGCAACAATGCGATTCTTCGACACAAATCCAAGTGGAAGAATTTTAAATCGATTCTCTAAGGATCTTGGAGCTATCGATGAACTGTTGCCAAAAGCGACACTCGACGCTGGACAAATTATTCTAGCTATGTGGGGTTCTCTAATTGTCACGTGTACTGCGAATAAATATTTCGTTATACCGATTGTAGTGATTGGAGGTATTTTCTACTTCATCCGGAAAGTTTATCTGAAGACCAGTAAAAATGTCAAGAGACTCGAGGGAATAAGTAAGTTAGAAAAAAAGCAAAATTATCTGTATTTGATTTTGAAAGTATACTTAGACAATACATTTGTTGTAGCTCGATCGCCTGTATTTACGCATTTGAATGCCACTTTAAATGGTATCACGACGATAAGAGCTTATCAAGCGGAAAAAATTCTCAAAACGGAATTCGACAAGTTACAAGATATGCATACTTCCTCGTGGTATATGTTCATTGCGACAAGCACGGCTTTCGGATTTTCTTTAGATGTATTCTGTTTCCTTTTTACGGGTCTGGTTACATTTAGTTTTCTGGTGATGAAAGATAGTAAGTTTAGAATTTAATTTGATAATTGACAGTTTAGATGTGACTTAAATATAATTTAAAAAAATTATTTTAGATTTCACCGGTGGTGATGTAGGTTTAGCGATAACTCAAGTAATGTCATTGACGGGTATGATCCAATGGGGTATGCGTCAAAGCGCTGAAGTGACAAATCAACTAATGTCGGTAGAACGAGTACTCGAGTATTCCGAATTACCAGCTGAACCTAATCTACGTGATGGAGGTGAATTAGCTAAAAAGAAGAAGAAGAAGCTGAAAAAAGGAGAGCAAGAGAAAATGCAATTGATCGAACCGCCAAAAGATTGGCCAACTTACGGTCGAGTTGAATTTAAAAGCGTCTATATGCGTTACTCTGAAGATGAGCCACCGGTGCTCAAAGGTCTTACTATGTCAATACGACCGAGTGAAAAGGTAAAAGAACATCGTCTTATTTTTTTTATAGTATTGGAAAAAGGAATTAATAAAATGTGAATATCATTGCAGGTTGGAATAGTTGGAAGGACAGGAGCTGGAAAATCATCTCTTATCTCCGCGCTCTTCAGGTTAGCCAAAGTAGAAGGTGGCATTGAAATCGATGGAATTGATACTGGTACTATAGCTTTAGAAGATTTAAGAAAAAATATTTCAATCATCCCACAAGATCCTGTACTTTTCTCCGGAACATTACGTCGGAATTTGGACCCATTCAATGAGTTCACGGATAAGCTTCTATGGGAAGTTTTGGAGGAGGTAATTGAAACATAATACGTAATACATTTAAAAATGAAAGTGAACATTAATTAAACTTTGGATATAGGTTGAGTTGAAGGATGCAGTAACGTTGACCGGCAACGGTCTTGATCATCGGGTACTTGACCGAGGTTCAAATTATAGTACCGGACAGCGACAGTTAATTTGCTTAGCTCGTGCTATACTCCGAAATAATCGTGTACTCATGTTAGATGAGGCGACTGCTAACGTCGATCCTCATACTGATGCGCTCATTCAGCGCACTATCCGCACCAAATTTGCACCATGTACCGTGCTTACGGTGGCTCATCGATTGAACACCATCATGGACAGCGACAAGGTTCTAGTTATGGATAAAGGAAGGCTTGTGGTGAGTTAACAGAAATAAATATATTATAATTTTGTTTTACTAACAACTATTCATGTTATCAGTTTTTTCAATTACAAACTTTCACTATTTCATAATTACAGGAATTCGATCATCCGCACATCTTGCTTCAAAATCATCATGGCCCATTCTCCTCTTTAGTAAAAGAAACGGGGCGAGCAATGTTCGAACAACTTTGGAAGGTCGCGCGCGACGATTACGTAACCAAACACGGAGACTCTGTGTAAATAGCAACGACAATAATTTCACCGGTGCGGTCAAACTGTACGATATCTAAGATAATAGTATTCGGTTATAATGGATAATTTATTTATTCTCAGATAATAAGATTGATAATCATACTACCAATAGTAATGTATTGCTATCATATAGCTCTATATGAAAATGATAACTTACACCGAAAAATGATGCTAATACTTATTCAAGTATTAATGATAGTCGGAATATTACTGATGATTCCATATTAATTCTAATTAGACGCTAAAAGTAATGTCTTCCGCGATTTTGTGCAATACGTTCCTGACATAATTTAAAAAAAATTCGCTACGAGTTGATAACGTAGTAAAGGCAATAATTCAAATTAAGCATGGTACACTACTTTGCATTGTAACGCGCATTCGAAATTGGATTATTAAATTTCGTCGTTCGTGAGATTACTATTTCTACTGATAAGATTCTTTCAGTTTGTACATAAAACAATCGCATATTTATAAGTAGAACAGTAAAAATCATACGTGCCTCAAACTGTCAATTTTGCTTTTAAAAAGCAGAGAATGACAAACTGTTTTTGTATGAAAGAAAGTTTATGTTGAACGTAATTGTGTAAAAAAAGTATTATTATAAGTTTACTTAACTTTAGATTTTTTAATTAAAACTATTTGCTATAATTTACTATTTTTCTTTCGAAAAATTCATTTTCATTTACTTCTGGAACTTTATTAGTTTAATAGTATAAGAATTACCGTAATTCAAAATCAGAAAGAACTGTTAATATTTATTACATTCTTGCTTTTAATTGAACTACATTAAGTAATAGATTTATCTATTCATGCAAACACGAAAATGTGATATTATATCTGTAGTCGATGGTTTGCACATAGTATTATTAAATAGATTTTAATCATACTGTACACAATTCTGTAAGTGAAAGCCGCTTGCCTTATATGGATACTTAGTTTTGATAAAAAAGATATATATTACTGCCAAATCAAACCGATATTTTATGGAGCAAACGTTTTATGTAGTATCCTACGTTTACGTCAATATATTTATATAGTAATAAACATTGTTTGTAAATATATTTTGCTAACAATACTGTTTATTACGTCATATTCATTGTACTTATTTTGGTACAGTTTCTACAGCGTATATGTTAAATATGTTAATATAACAGTTATATTAATATTTAATTATTTGATAATAAATGCATTACTTCATTGTACAGATACATAAGCATTATTTTGTGAAAGATCTTTTACTGATGTATGGAAGAAAATAAAAACAATTTCATCGAAAAATATTTTGTAATCTACTTTATCGACTAAATTTTAGAACATGTTAATATTAAAAATGTAATAAAACGAATCGGAGTCACTGCGGATAACAGTGAGCAACAGATTGTGATTTCAATTACTAAGCATGAGAAAATTTTTAGACTTAAATTTTCATATGTTTATTAGCTCGATTCGAATTCGGATTCTGCTTTCAATTATAATAGATCCAATTATGATGTAGTTTTTTTAGTGCTTTTCAACTTAACAATAATATTATTCAAATAATAAAAAAATTATTTAGTAAGTTTTCATGCTACGATGTCGCTGAACATAAAAAAATCTTATTATAACAATAATATTTGTACAGGTGACTAGAAAACCTCGTGAGCATACAAACATAAAATTTAATAATGAGAAAAATTAATAAAACTATTATACCACATTCACAATTACTTAAGCGTTAAATTATTTAAGAAATACATTTTTACGTGATATAATTGAAATGAATTTTGGACCCTTGAACAGCCATAACATTTAACTTTAATCAAACTTTCCCACGTACAAAGACTTATGTAAAATCTATTTTCATAAACTTTATAATGATAACCTAAACTTTGGATTTTATAGTGATTTATATATCGCGCTTTCAAACAAATCATTACATCAAACGGTTATGCCACAGAAATACGTAAAGCTTACAATTTAGTCACGACTGTACCTTAGTAGATTAATGCCTATGGTGACTTGGCGACTTACTTTTTTCATATTGTAATGTTGATATTTTGTTGTGAACGACTCGACTGCTGCTTTGATTGTTTTTTTTTTATCATTTCAATTCTGATAGTGTCATAAAAGTGTTGCACTATTGAAACTACATCGTAAACTATTGTGCTTCTATTGAAACCATATTACCAATCTCTTAATATCATTGTAAGAAACACGCGGTATTTCGATTTTATTACGCCATATTCATTGTATATAGTTTTTATAAAGAAATAAAATAATACTACAATGGAAAACTCTATATTTCTTTTTGTTTTTTAAGAAAATACTCTGTGAACTCAGTAGGTTACGTTTTCTCTTGGATATGAGAGTTTACATAGTTCGAAGCAAAGCTAATTTTTCTTGACAGTATCTAATCAGTAAACATTTTCTTTTGCGATGAAAACGGGGCACGGCACCTAATGACTATTTCCGAAGAAGCTCATTTTGAAAAAATGACGATTCATTCGAGTTTGCTCTTTTTCTTAAACACTTGTGTCAACATCAGGATTGCCATCTAATTTATCAGAATAAAAACTGTTTTAGCCAATCGTGCGTTTTCATCAGATAAGTACAGTGAAAGAGCTTCAGAAGTTCGTTGGAATAATAAAATCAGTATCATCACGAAATATCTGACGCTCGGTGCAGATTGTCGTTGAATTCAGCGGGGATAGAGAGTATTACGTTAGTGAAATGAAAATCATATGTTAATTATTCAAAGAAATATTTTTTTTTATTTCCAATATATTTACAATTCGTCCATAAATTATAAGTAAATCTTATAATACATTTACATTAATTGGTTACAAATAAGTTAAGTACAATTTATTTGAAGGTACTTCACCATTGATTCGTACCAATACATTAATTCCTTGCTTTTTTAACTATGAGTAAACGGTGTTTTATATTTTTTGAATCTTGAAACTGTTAGTGTTGTGTACATTGACTACTTTGCCAGTCGATTTGGGTGTTCCAATAACCTGTCAGTATATTTTCTGTAAACTGCTTCAATTTCTTTTCTTATGGTCGTTATATTTACATCCTTCCTTATGTATTCGTTTGTGACAAACCATGGTGCATCGGTAATGGATCTTAGTATTGTATTTTGAAATCTGTTTATTATATCTAGCATTATCTCCAAGTCACATGCCATATGTCCATACTGGTTTAGTTATGAATTTATAAGTAGTTTATTTTTGATTGAGAGTTTGGGTTTTCTTCCTAGTAGCCAGAGATATTTTTTCATCTGTAGATTAAGTTGTTTAGTTTGGTCCATACATCGTCTCTCCACGTCAATCGGCGATTTAGGTGCATTCCAAGATATTTCGCTTTGTGTCCTTGTGGGATTGGTTGATTATTTATGTGTACTGATGGGCAAGGTTCTTTTTTAGGGTATAGATTACATGAATTGACTTTGTTTCATTTATTGTTATCCTCTATTTGTTTAACTAGTTTAAAGCTGCATCCAGGTATATTGTAGGAGGTTGTTATTTCATTAGTGTGTGATATTAATATAGCTGTATCATCTGCGTACATGGCGATATTGACATTTTCCATGGTAGGAAGATCGTGGATGTATATTAATACAATATATAAGGGACCAAGAACGCTTCCTTGGGGATCACCGTCTTTTATTGGATAGAATGTAGCAGTTTCATTATTTATTCTTACCTTAGAAGTTCTTAAATATTAACTTAGGTAAGAATATACTACCTTTAAATCGTAACTTTGGTAGATTTTAGTAGCAGAGAGAAATTTTTGGTATGATTTTATTAAATTTATATAAGAACTCTTTGTGTCATACTTTATCAAAAGCTTGAGTTACATCTAGAAATACTGCTACAGCCATGTTAGTTGGGTTTAATATAACTTTTTGACTATGTATTTGATTTGCTGTATTTATATTTACTTATTGAAATTACTATATAACGATAAATCGCATTTAGGAGAGCGACTTATCGCACGTCCAAACAGAACGAGCGTTAAGAGTGAAGTTGACTATGAAACATAAAAATTACGTTTCTGTATCTCTCAAAAGTAAAAAATATGGTATTTTGGCACCAACTTTTCTTTCAGTTAGCTGATAAACTATACAAGAAGTTATGTATTGTAGCTGGTGATAAATATTAATAAATTTTCAATATGGATAATCGAAAAACAACCAACATTCCAAATCCAAGGGAAACCGCTAATATTTTTTCTATTTTAACTTTTGCGTGAGTATTTTATATAATAGTCATTAATACTTATTATAGCATTCATACAGTATTTCTGATATTTATTTTATTTTTTATTATTTTTATACATCTTTAGACAACTATCATTATTATTTATCATCAATTAATTAAAATTTAAACTCATCTCGACTTCCTGAAAAATGATTGTATATTAGGCAGATATTTTTTATTAATGGTTGTTATTAATATTATTCATTCTAAACTCGCTACAAAAATGATGCCAAACAGAATTACGTTATAGATTATTAAAATCTTCAAGCTAACAATCGTCATTAGCAGAAATATTTATTTGATTTTTTATATTCGTTATTTATAAATGTGAATTTTTTATCTTTATAGATGGACTTACAATTTATTCAAAAGCAGTTACGGTAAAATATTAGACATAGCTGATTTATATAATCCCGTGAACAGTGACAGATCGAAAATACTTGGTGATCGACTGGAAAAGTAAGCGCAAAATTAAACGAATAATAATTTGTATTTTGATACTTTTTGAAATCAAATATATGCATTGATATAAATTTATTGAATAAAAAAAATTTTATTCACGTAATTCTTTTGCACTCAGCGCATTGAGTGCACTTAAGCAAATATCAAATTTACATTTTTATTTCATGTTGCTTCGATTAGGCAATGGTTTCTAGAATTGGAAAGAGCGAGAACTAGAAAACGTAAACCAAACTTTTTATGGGCAATTCTTCGAGCTAATGCTCCCGCACTTCTGTTGCAAGGTTTATATCAACTTGCCATTGATTTAATATTCAGGTATTATACATTTTTCTGTCAGTTTAAATAAATCATTACAACATTTTTTTATTCAGGCTTCATTAAGTTATTTAAAAATTCGACATTTCGAAAAATGATACTATGTAATAAAAACTACCGGTTATGTAGTTTTTATAAATGGTAGTATGATCTCACTCTAAAATTCAAATCAAACAGGGTGGTCTCACCAATTCTCTTAGGTGCTCTTCTTCAATACTTCAAACCAGAGTCTACTACAACGTATGAGACAGCTTTGCTTTACGCTATTGGTATGGTGATCATATCCATATTGAATACTATATCACAAAATCAAACAATGTTCTTAGCATATCATACAGGCGGGAGAGTAAGAATTAGTGCGTGTTCGGTTGTTTATCGAAAGGTAATTTCTGACGATTCACAAATGAAAATTACGATTAAATGAAATGAACTAAATCTCATAAATGATTTATATATAGGCTTTACGTTTGAGTAAAACAGCACTAGGTGATACAGCCCCTGGAAAAATTGTAAATTTGGTATCCAACGATGTAAATAGATTCGAAGTAGTCTTGGTATTCCTTCATTATATGTGGTCAGCTCCATTATTGACTATTGTGATAGTTGGAATACTCTATTCAGAGATTGGATGGTCGGCACTTGTTGGCATATTTTTAATATTCATAGTTGTACCATTTCAAGGTAATTGTAACTTTTATCTACTATAGAATAATTTAGAATATCGTAAAATGTTTCAAATCTTCAATATAAACGTTTGACTACATTTCTGTGCACCAGGTTATTTAGGAAAGCTCTCTTCTAAATACCGATTAGAAACGGCACTAAAAACAGACGAACGCGTACGTCTGATGGATGAAATAATTTCTGGTGTACAAGTGATCAAAATGTATTCCTGGGAGAAACCATTCTGTGCTTTAATTGAACTTGCAAGACGTCTCGAATTGAAAGTAGTTAGAAAAAGTTCTTACGTACGAGCAATTTTTATGACTTTCTTTCTTTTTACCACGAGAATGGCACTGTATGGTACTTTAATAACAATGATGCTTAGAAATCAGCAGCTTTCTGCCGATAAAGTTTTCATGTACATGACCTACTTCAATTTAATTTCTTTGACTATGTCTGCATTTTTTGTACGAGGTATTGGAGAAATCGCTGAATGCGTGGTTTCTATAGCAAGATTGCAGGACTTCTTAATGCTTGAAGAGTTTGAATCAGGAAGTTTGAATACAAATATGATCAATATGAATGATACTTTAAAATTCAAAAATAATTTTAAAGATAACATGATTATGCAAGTCAACGGTTCATTAGAAAATGGTTGTTTTAAACCTAACTACAAGGAATTTCCATCTATGTAAGTAAATTGCACAATTTGTAAAATGTCAGATGATTTAAAATTATATTTCACTCTCAGTAATGATGAAGAAATAAAGAACGTAAACTATGCTGTCAAACTGAACCACGTAACAGCCAAATGGGATTTTCATTCAACCGAGACAATTCTTAATGATATTGATCTAGAAGTAACTAAAGGCAAATTATACATTGTAATTGGCATGGTAGGTGCTGGAAAAAGTTCATTCATCTCAGCGATCTTGAGAGAACTTAAAATTCTACAAGGTAGTATCGAAGTTAACGGAAACATCAGTTACGCTGA